GGGCTGCGCCGCCCCTCGGTCCGGATCGCCCCCTGGGTCCGGATCCCCCCCTTGGTCCGGTGGGCAGCTCTCAGCCCCCCCGCCCCCCGCTTTGAAGTGCGGAGCGGGCCGGCGGCTACACCCGGCTGGGTGAAGTGGGCGCTCCCCGCCCGGAGGGCAGCGCTGGCGGGGATTCCCGCCCGTCCTCCTTCAGGTGTCCGTACCCCGTTTCTTGCCGCCCTCTCCCCCTGCGAGGTGAGGCTTTTTTTTTTTTAAGCAAAGGTTCCTGTTTCGACCTTTTGGAAGAAGGGCAACCGCCCCAGAGAAGGAGACCCACACCCTTAAAACTGACAGTGAGGGCTGACTTCTTCAAACTCGGCTGCCCCAAAAAAATATGTATATACGCACACACACGCATACCCCCAAAATAACCCAAATCCAGGAATATTAAGTCCACCATCTGCCACCAACACGCTCAACAAGTAAGCAGAAAAATAACCAATTTATCTGCCTTTGCATAAGTGTGGGTTATTGTAGCAATTACGCAGGCCTTGCAGAAAATGGCTCATTTCCTTGCCAGAGAAATAAGATTTATTTTGTGCTCGCTGTCCTCTGTAACAGCATTTATTTGAGCTGTGTCACTTAATCTGATTTTACATATCTGTTTTTCAGCTACAAGAAATGCGAAGAGAGCTTTGGACTGAAGTTTTATATTCACTGCTGCATCTGTTCATGAAAGATTTACGGGGGGGGGAAGGGAGGCATATTCATTCACCTGAGGAAAAAGGTATCTGCTTATAGACAGTGTAGATCCTTTTGATGTCAGATGATAAAAATTGGCCAGCTCCTTACCTCCTTTAGATTAATGCACTTCTTTCATTGACATTTGGCTATTACCCTACATGAGAAAGGACAAGAAAAGAGTAACTTGTTAAGCAATTCCAACATTTAGAACAACAATGAAGACAAGTGTTATGTTAATAACTGAATTGCTTTTATTTTTATCCTAGTTCTATTGATTTGAACATAAGAGTAGAATGCTGCTCCTCACACAGCTGTCTTTGAAGAGAGACAGAGAACAGGCAACGCTTTTGTTCATCATTAGAAGTTATTACTTTTAAGGACTGACTTAAAACAACTAAGAGACACGCTGTTCAACTCAATTTAGAGTATTTCTTCCTGCTACTGCCAACGTATTTAAATATCTGAGCCAGCCATGCTGCCTAAAGCACAACCACAATCTTCCAAGGGCCTGTACTTCCACAGACTCTCAGGGAAGGGGCACCAAAGCCCACTGTCCTTAGACCTAAGTCCATCCAGAACACGTTGCAAAAACAGACAACACAGTTGCATCACGACTTTTCAAGAGCTTAATCCATAAATACTTGAGTAAAAAGTATGTACGGAGACCAAACAGAAAGCAGCACTAGTATCATCTGAGGTAAATTTGCTGTGGAATTTCCTTTTGCACAAAGAGCTGGGAGGGGAACACGGCAAACCTGTTACACCAGCATGGGCAGGGAAACCTGTCCACACTGAAAGATAGAAATGCTTAACCAGTTCCCGAAAGATAAAGGCCAGAAATGCAAGTTTTGTATTATGATGGTACACTAGAATCAACCATGCCAAAACCTATGAAAAGTTATTAAAATTTGTGTGGACAGAGGTTCAAGACAAACACTAAATAAAATTAATTCCATGTATTTCTGGAAGAGTACTGTTTCCTGTCTTTGATTGTCTTTATTATTTACCTTAAAACTCTCCAAGACAGGGCCTGCCGCTTACATTACTACTTTCAGTTGTACAGTGCCCAAAATAGCAGGGCCTGCAGCTTGGTTGTCCCTAATTACTAACGTAATTAACAATGATGGGAGCATTAAGAGCCCTTTATGCTGAAGTACGATGCTGGAAAGCTCAGTAGGTCCCAGCCTCAAAAGAATAATTCAAAATGACACTTAGAAATTACATTATCTAGCACTTCTTTACTTAATTTGCACGATCCAAATCTGAGCAACACAGAAGCTGGTGGGAGTTTTCCCTCAGCCACATTGAGAACAAGACCATGCAGATCTGTTATCTAGATATGGGTCTATTCCTGTAAATTCTCTGTGTTTACCTCTCCTGCTGTTATGATTCAAAACACTCCCAGAGGTAGATCCTAAGCCCAAGTAGAAGCAATTCCCTTTTTAGAAGGCCAGGACTTGTTTAGGAAACCCCAGTCCCACTTGAAAACAGCCAGATTAGCTGCTGAATGATTCAGAAGGTATTTAAAGAAGATAAAATAAATCCGTAAACTACCGTTCAATCTAAACCCTTTTCTCTGGGTTTGTTTACTCATGCAAAGCAAGAAAAATCACTACTTTCAGAACACATACAAGCATTTCTAGCTTCCAGGATACAAGAGGAAGAGGACCCACCTTTCCCCCATGGAGTTATCACCCTTGCAGCTGCTTCCCTTTTATTTTTATAATTCTACCCAGATCATCCATATCCAAGACAAAGAACATAGATATTGCTTGTAACTTCTTGTATACTGGGACTGAAACAGCACCAGGAAAGGAAGAGGACACACCTTTCCCTAAGGCCATCACTATCACAGCTGTTTCCTCTCTGCTATTACAACACTACGCAGATCATTCAGACACACAGCAGGGGACCTTGGTTCTCTTTAAATGTCCTATAAGGGCCCAGAGGGGCCTAATTAAGACCTGATTAAGACCTGATAAACCTTAATGGCCCCAGCCAACCTCACCTGTGGCCTCCACCCACACTCTCTGCCCCTGGACCCAGGAGCCCCATTTAAGCTTTGGCCTGAGGGCTCACTCTCTATTTGAGTGGTGTTGGGGCTACTGGTCTCCAGTTCAGCTGCAGCTATGGCTGGCTATAGAGCCTGTTGATGTAAAGCCTGGCTCATATCTGGCCTTATCTCAGACCTGCTTTATCCCTCACCTGAACTGCAGATTGACTTCTTAACTCAGCCTTGCCCCTGTCTTGTTGCTACAAGCTCACCTGATAACCTGGACTCTTGGCTGCTCCCAGTTGCCCTCCCTGGGCCTGCTCTGCTCACCTGCTTGGGGATTGCCGGACTGGACCCTGAATGGTGAGGCTTCTGCCCTGTTGTCTGTGTTATCGTGCTCATCTCCCAACTCTGTGTCCCTCAGGAACAGCCAGCCCTTGCTACTCTATGACATGCCCCTACCTCCGCTCAGGGAGTATGTTAACAAACTGACAATCTGCTTCACTCTATACTGAGGTGTACCTGTAGGCTGTTCCTATGCCAAGATTTTTCAGACACTGCTGATACCCTCTATCCAATCTCAATAGTTTCCTATGATATGCTTTAAAAAAAAAAATAATCTGTGAAGGTTTCTAATTAAATGTTTTGGTACAATGAAGAAGTAAAGGAAAAAGATATCCAGGCTAAATATGTCTAACCACAGCTGAGAATAACTGTACTTGCTAGGAACAGCACATTTAGAGCAAGGCAAATCTTGTGTGGAAGCTACAGTAAAACATATCAATGTAACTATGAGAGTTGCTGTTGCAGCATATTCATTACAGACAGCAGCCAGTTTGCATATTGATAGGTATGTAAATTCAAGTATAGACATCTTTTAACATGCAAGTTCTTAGAAAATGCATAGCCAAAGTAAACACATTACAAGTTCGAACTTTGAGATTATTTAGTCTAGGTAAGTGGGAAACTTACAGTTACTGCAATATCCTAATAGTTGTTGAAGAGTTACATGGGAAAAAAAAAAAATCTTCAGACAGTTTCTAATCGGTGGCATAGAAATCCCTGATTGCTATGAGGAAGCATCTTTAGCCTAATAGAGGCTCTTCAGATGAACCAAACCCCAGAATTATAGGGGAAAGCCTCCTGCTATTCGATCACTGAAGTAGTCAAAGTGTGCCTAACACTTGGTAGTGGAGCAAGGCCTGAAAGCCTGTGCTGCAGCTGTGCTTGCAGGCAACTATTTCCTAGGAGTCATAAGTCTCTAGGTTTCCCACGTGGTCTATGCGCAAGAATGATAGTAATTACAACATTAAAAATATCAATTCCAAGAAAATATCTGGATCAGAGTTATCTTTTCAGAATAAATTATCTGATGTTTGTAGTTACTTAGGCTTCTTACAATCTGTGGGGTGTAGTAGCTACGTGCACTACAAGGCCTGATGCTGACAGGACATCTAGCGGCACGTGCAAGTTACTGCCCAGAGACAATCCTGCTAGGAAAAGAGACTGATTTTTTTTTTTATGCTTCCAGATATTTTCTGGTACCAGTCTAGGTTTCTTTGGCTGATGGTGAGATTTCTGTGTTTATTTTATTACCTAAGAGTATAAAAGAAAAGGGGGAAAGGAAACTGTAAGAGGTAACATACAGTAACATCTGAATCATCTCTGTACAAAGATGGGACATTCTACATAATCTTGCTAATATAAAGGTTAAGACTATTGATTTTTCTCTGCCTATTCACCCTTACTTGCATTTTACTACTCACCTGTTCCATCCAGTTGTTTATCTGGCTCTAGATGAAGAAACTTGCACAGCTATTACTCCATACACTGAAAGTCAGAATGTTTGAGTTACAAGAGCTGACAGCACAGGACTCCCCAGTGAAGAATTACATTTACTTACATTGATGGCTTCCCATAACGAAGACACAGTGCGTAGCCTTTCAAATGTTTTTTTAGCAATGTTAGCCTAAAAGCCATTTTAATTGCTACTATTCATGTTTAGTTTGCTGCTTGTGTTACTTGGTTTGAGCAACAGAGAAGTCACAGAAGCCAGGCCCAATCTGCTTGTCGCTTTCATCTTTAAGTGGGACTACAGCTACCAGTTTCAAATAGTTCAACAGCTTCAACACCATTCCAGTAACAAAGCAGAAAGCCCTTTGTTTTGTTACATATTTTTTGGTGGTATTTAAAATTAATTCTCTAACCCCAGCTTTAAACAGAAAGGCAGTTTCTTGGGCAGAAGCTGAAACTTGCCGGCCGATTCACAGTTGAGCTGGAAGCAACAACCCCAAATGTCCCCATGAACTATGCTGCATGGCTGAGGGCTAAGGCGGGAAGAGCAGCTCTGTGTCACCTCACCCCACACCAGGGCCTCGCTAAGCACCGCCACAAAGGCTGGTCTGGGCGAGGCTCAGGGGTTTCCTTTGGCCACTGTCTCCCTGTGAGAGCAGCGAGGGCCACCAGCGAGGAGGGAGCCCACCACAGGGCCCCGGCCACTGTCATGGCCCTCACTGAGGGGCCCGGGCCACCCCAATGAGCACCGTGGGCGGCAGCCTCCGGGTGGGGGGGCAGCCCGGCGGAGCCCAGAAAGGCCCTAGGGGGAGAGAAAAGGGCTGGGAAGCTACAAAACCCCCGTGGCAGGGCACAAACCCCGGTGACAGGAGACGAGCGTCTGTGACAGGGGAGACCCGGCGGTGACAGGACTGAGGGGCAGCCCCACCCCGGTCACGTGCCCCCTCCCCCGCCCCTTGACCCCGGAAGTGGCGCGGGAAGGGGATGCTGATGCTGGAATAAACATGGCGGCCCGCGGCCCTGGGGCTGCGCTGGTGCGAGCCGCGGTCGTGCTGGGGCTGGTGTTGCTTTGGGCGGGCCCGGCCGGCGCCCGCGTCCATCATCTCACCCTCAAAGTAAGGTCTGCGCCGCCCCCGTCCCTGCTGGCTCAGCTCCTGGCCGCGCTGGGCCCCCTCCGGGTTGAATGTGGGGAGCGGCAGGGCCGGCCTGGCCCTGCCCGCCTCCCACGGCCGGGGCTCTCCTCTCCTCGCCTCCGGCTTCGTCCCGCTGCCTACCCCTGGCCCTTCGCCCTCTTCGCTTCTCTCTGGGCTCTCCCCCTGCGCCTCAGCCTGCCCGGGCCCCGCTGTGTTCTGCTTTTCCTGTTATTCTCCCTCCTCCTCACGCATCCCTTTAGCCCCCATCCCTGCGGTTTTGGCCGTCTGTTTCTTAGTTGTGGGGAAACCGTGTGAAAGGGGCCTCAGAACTGTAGCGGTTTGAAGGTGCAAATGCTTCACGTCCTGTTAAAGGCAAGGAACAAAGCTGTGTGTGATAAGAGAGGGCTGAATGTGAGCTGGGGGGAAGGTTCTGAAGGGGGGTTGGGGTTGCTTTTGCTTTTAATCTGCACTCTGCAGCAGTCTTCCTGTCTTGATCGCTGGTTGCTGATTTTAAAAGGCCGTGTGGCTGTTTTATTGGTCTTCCAGGTTTAGTTTCTTTGCGCTAATCAAGCAAACCATAGAGGCAGAAAAAGATATCAATGCTGATATCTCTCTGTTTCAGTTTGGTAGACTTCTGGTTGTGCTTTGAAAGAGTGTTGTGTCCTCCTATGACTATATTTGAGAAAAACTAGTTATTCAGGGTTGTTGATGGGAAGTGCTGCAGATGCTGGCAAAGATCTGCAGCTCCAGAGTGTCGCTGTCTGTTGTGTTTTAAATGAAAAGTTGTACAGTTGTTATGTGGTAGAGGAACTGTGCGTTTGGGGTGATGCCTTTTAAGGACTTCTATACAGTTCATGAAGCACTCTGTAAATCTTTAGAATTAGGTTGTTAATTCTGTTCTTGTTGTCAATAACATGCAATAGTTTGCCAGTAGAAACACTGGAAGAAGTTAATGAAGTGGTATACGACTAGGACCAACATCACTGTGTTCTTGTAGCAGTTGAAGGAGAGTGCCATAACTTTGCAGGAGTTCCCCTTCAGCCTTTGGGATGCAGTGAATGCTAGGGGGACGTTTGTGACTTATTCGTAGGGAATTTTCCAGACTATGTAGTTGTCTAGTGTGTGACCACATGAATATTCTTCTGCTTCAGGAAAAGTAAACTTTTATCTGAAGCAATAAACAAGGAGGTTTGTGCTGGTTACATTATTGTTTTAAGGAATTTGTGACCAACAGTTGAGTGCTGGAAGAATTTCTCCTGGGGTGATACTTTTCCCTTACATAGAAAACTTTTAAACTGGCCTCCAGCAAATGTTCTCAGCAGCAAACATTACAGCTTCCAGTTCCTATTAGGGTGTCTCTTAACTGCCTGGATCAATTACTAAACTGTTTGCTGATTTTTATGATCAAAGTGGGGTTTAATTGGTTTTAATTTTGTAGGTATTTTGTGTGAGTTGCAACACCGACCTACAAAGCACTGTGGAAGGTAGAAGTGTGTTAATGCCTCTGTCCGTCTCCTGTATAAACATAAGCTTTATTGTTAGAGTGCAGTCTCTCCCTTTCTACTTCACCTACTGCTTTACAGCATTTATGTAAACATTAGGCTCCAACAACTGTACCCTTTCACAATGAAATCTCCCTTCTAGTGTTCTTGCCATTGGCTCCTTGCTTGTAAGCGTGCTTTGACGCTGTGCCAAGCTAAAGGCCACAACTTTGTGTGAGTGTTAGATATTAGGTTTCCTCAAACAAGCTGTTATTGCTTAAGTTAGAATAGCCGCATTCTTGTATCTTAGTAATTAGCATGCAAAGGTGAAGCTTTTTTGTTGTCAGAAAAGCAAGCCACAGTCTGAGTGTTTTCCCGTTCTGAAAATAACTTATCTTTGTAAAAGCATACAAAATGATTTATTTCTTCTGAGTTAGAAAAATAATTTGTTTGAATGATGCTGTTAGACTAACCTCGTCAAAGGAGACTCTCTTCCTTAGTAGTGATTGTTATCAGCTTCATTAGTTCAATGAGATATGTTTAAAAAAAAAAAAGCAAAACCAGAAACAACCTACGAAAACTGGATTTATAGAAGACTGATGGAAACAATTTTCAGAGGCTTCCAGAAGTAGCTGCTGGTTGGAATGTTTCTCTCGACCAAAAAAAGATTTTTGTTGTCTTAACAGTTGAATGCTATAATATTGAAGCCTTACGTTTTGCACAACGCAATGGCAAATGGTCTCAGAGGATGAGAAAGTTGGTCTAAATGAGGCCTTTGTCAGGCACGCAGTTAAGTTTAATGCTAGTGAACAGCCAAACATACCTGTTTCAGGAGGAACCATCCAACTGAACACTGTGTAGCGGTGGTATTAGTTTTTGGTTAAAGCGAGTTATTTTTACAATTATCTGGCTTCCAAAAGGGAAGTAAGACCTCTCCTATTTTATGATACTGTCAAGATTGCAGTTTCATGTCAAATTATTATTTGGAAGATGTTATTTTTCAGTGGTTGTTTGTAAGTACTTGAGGCCTTTTAATGTTGGTGGATCTCAGGCTTCAGTTGCTCAAGTTGAAAATACCTTTCACAGTAATTCATTTAGTCTTACACAAATTATAAGTCTTGCTATTAGTCTCACACAAATAATAATATTTCTTCCATCTAAGGGTAAGCACTCTGACGAAACTTTCACTGTACTGATAGCGTGATCCCAATTAGATTTTGGGTAAAATGTTAAAGAATATTTTTCTGCCTGTTCTGGGCTACAGGATCTTGGATACCACTTTCCTGTAATCTTACTGAAATGTTGCAGGATCAAATTTTATCCCAAAGGAACGTGGAAGATTTTTTATGGAAATAAACTCAGAACTTACGGTATTGGTTTGACTGTAACCTGTTAGTGATGAGTCCCAGACCATTTCTTCTCAAAGGGGCAGGCTTAACCGTTAAATTCATCCTATGTAAGTTAAAATAATGTGTATGCTAACAAACTACAACTTACAATTGATTATTTCTGAAGTCAGCAGTTGAGTGATTTTAAATAAAAGCTGGATTCTTCCAACCTGTTAAACCTCCTGTCAGAGGTGAGACAATTATTATAAGCCAGTATCTTTAAGCTGTCAAGATGTGGAGTAGTAGATGCTCTTGGAGAGTGTGCTGTTGCTTGGTGGCAACTGGTGACAGAGCATGTGGGATCATGTAAAGCTGAAGGATTTGTGAACTAAGGCTGTAAACTCTAAGCACTTAAAGCTGAGATAAAACCAGGGAGGAAAGTGTGTGTGTTGTATATTAATTATCTTTTGTTGGTGGAGAGCATATTAGTTAACTGGCAGAGTAAATAAAGTTAAATTGAACTGAATAGCTTTTGCAAGTACTCTGAATTAAGCAGTTGTCTCTGGTCATGTTTACAAGGTGCAAAACACCTTGTGGCTAGATGAGACTGTATCCCCCCCTCATACTCCCCTCTACCCAATCACCCAGAGAAATGCTTATCTGTCCAGATATGATTAAATATGCATGATGTGCTATGTAAAGAGCTACTACTAATCTTCTGTTCTGACTGGGAAATTACATTGAAAGCAGTGTTAAAGGAACCAAATGCGGTCTTGTTTCAAGCATGTTAAGGGACCTAGAACCCGAAGGCAGCACAGCTATAATACTCTGTTGAACAAGGCATCTGCTGTGAGCCATGTGTCGCTAACGTGTTTTTTTTTTCTTTTCCTCTTCTGAGCATTAAGGGAACCATCTGGTTATTTGCCAGGTTAACTTGATTCTATTAGGGCGATCTTATTACAGCTAGATTACAGGTTAGCTGTGTCAGGATTAGCGTCCTGCTGCTATGGCGAGTGATATTTATGCGTCAGGAATGTTTTATGCAGAGATGTCAAAATTAACACTGGGGTAAAGGAAGAGAGAGAACTTACTGTACTTCTACAATTCTTAGCTTGATCTTCCAGTACCTTGTCCAGAACAGTTTGTTTGCCTTTAGCAGCTGACTTCTCTGCTTAAGAGTATTCTGCAATCTGATTATCTTTTCCTAGAAGAAACAATTTTCTTTTTAGTGACAACTTGTAAAAGTGCTTTAAACCACATTTTAAACTTGCTTTTTAACTTTTGTTGCTCTGTTTCTGCTTTTCTTCCAATTAATGATCCAGTAGGTTTGAGGGTCCAACTGCATACCTATTTATTGACTTATGAATGCAAAGTAACAGGGGTATGACCTTTCCTCATCTGGTGTAGTAAAGATTACACACAGTTGCCACTTTTCATGTGAGGTCCTTCATGACCTCCTTATTTAAAAAATAAGAAAGTTCACTGTAGTTGATCCTTTATCAACTGAGGAAGGCATGGAAAGGGATCAGTTTCTACAGTTTCCTTGCCAGACTGAGAGGAAGTAAATTATTCTGCAACTAAGACTGGGAGCAGAGGAGGGGATTTGAATTTTCCTGTTAGAGAAACTAACCCAAGTGATTCTGTTTGAACCCACATATCCAGTTTTCAGTATTTATCCTACTTATAAGACACAAGGCCTTGCTAAAAATCATTTGGAGGAATGGGACTACGTAAGAAATTTTGTCATCTACACCATACACGTATTTTTCCAGTGTATTAGGTGTTTGACTGTCCAAACATTGACCCTGCCTAACATAGAAGGTCTGATGGGATGACAATACACTGTGATACTTGTTAAACACTTGGCCAAAACCCAGCTCTCAGTTAGGTAAGATCGCTATAGTCAACTAATTCCTCCAGTCCGTTGCAATGACAGTAGCTAGCATTCAAATGATAGCTGTCTTGATTTGTCTGCAGTCTCTTTTTTTTTTTTTGGTAGCAATATTTTGTTTAATTAGTGATACCAGGTATTTAATTTCTTCCAAACTTTTTTCTTGCATATTTCTCAATAGTATAGCCACGTAATTAGCAAAGACACATTTATTTAAAGTTCTTGCTGTTCAGGTTATTGGAAGAGTCGATTCCAGTGAAATAATTGGTTGTATCTGAAGGTATCCTAAAGAAATTTGCTCTTGGTATGGTCAGATAGGTGTTTTGCATGAATACTTAAGTAAGTGTCAATCTCTGTCTCCCCGCTTCCCTTTGCTGCTGCAGATGACTGTGTATGTGATTTGTAAACTTATTTTCTTTTCTTACAGGATGATGTGAGACAGAAGGTGCACCTGAATACCTTTGGCTTCTTCAAGGACGGTTTCATGAAAGTCAATGTCAGCAACCTTTCTTTGAAGCCACCTGTGGACTCTGATGACAAGAGTAGCTTGTCAGTAAGTTACTTTGAGTCTAATGACTGTATTAAGCTTTCTGTGAAACTGCCCTTGCACTAGATGCCTTGACTTGGTTGAGATGTCAGATCCTAACTGGTGGTGCTGTTGGCTTTGCTCCCCACTGCAAGCCGTTTGTGAGGATATGTATATTGTGAGATTTATCCTTGAGCGCTATCCATTCTGCTTTAAGGATAAACTTTAACTTATCGGACCCTCTACTGAACTCAATGTACACATCTATAACCTATGTTGAACATAGGTTTCCTAAGCAGTCTTCTCATGTGAGATTTTCACATTGTTGTCCTGTTGCATTGCAATGCATCTTGTAATCATCATATCAGTAGGTTTCCAGAACAGTGACTGTCTTATTTTTAGAGGACTCGTAACATTAAGTGTTACATAGCACGTTATATTAGTGATTTTAACAGAGACTGAAATGCTAGGGTGGAAAACAGACCTGTGTTCTTACTCTTCTGCACAGTTCAACCTCTTTATTGCTAAAAATATTAAATGTTTTCTTCAAGCAAAAACATCTGGAAAAATACTGAAATAAGTTAAAAAGTTCAGGGACAGAAGGTACTCTAGATTAGTTTGAGTTTGAATCAGTATACATTTTATTCTTGGTGGATATGGATGAAGCAGCAGGTTTATTATATTTGAATAATTTTTTTGTGTCTAATTAGATAATGAGAAAAATACTTGGATTCTGCCTTAAACGTAGGTTAATTTATTTAGAGAGCAGTATCTTTGATTCTTTTAGTGGTGGTTTGGCTTCTGATACTAGGGGAACTTGAACTGTTTTAATTTGACAGATTCTTCTCAATTATTTCATAGGTGGGGTTCAGTTTGGATCGAACAAGGAATGATGGGTTCTCCACTTACCTGGTAAGAGTAAGAGATGTGAACTTACTTTTCTAAGCTGGGGACATCTCATAGTCTACCTTACTCCAGGAACAGTTGGAAAAAATTTAAAAAAAAAAAAAAAAAAAAAAGGGCGGGGGTTGGTGCTTTAGTCATGGGCAGGTTGTTAAGGATAATTTGGTTTTACAACTTGCTAGGCTAAGAATAGTAACCTCTACCTGAGGGGAAACATGTCCCATTTCTTATAAACAGGAGGGCACTTCAAAGATGTTTTGCTTATATTACCAGGATGAAGAAGTGGATTACTGTATCTTGAAAAAAAAACCAGAGCAAGATGTCTCTGTTGTAATCTTACTTCTGGACTTCAAAACTGAAGTGTAAGTAAATAGCGTACACTACATTTTAAAGTTATTCTCTAGTTGAAGCTAATGTAACACTTGTGAAATTTATTTAAGAGCTTGGAAAGCTGCTGTGCATGCAGTTTATTTTTTAACGGGTTACGTGAGAGTTGAGGGGAGGTGAGAGTGAAAGAAAAAGATGCGCACTATAAAATGGTCCAAGAATTCTTGCTGTATGTTGGAGGGATAAGGGGACATAGGACAAAAGAATCATACCTTAATTGTGCTGAAGGCATGAACTTGAAGTCTTGGGTCACTTTTGCAGCTTGCACTGAATATGCTGCTTTATTGTTTGTCTTGAGTGAGCTATTTTAGGAAGTACCTTTGAGGCTGCAGTGCTTTCTTTTGCAAGAACAACTGTAACTGTTTGTGTGGAAACATAATTTCTAATGAAACTCTGGTTACTAAAACTGAATAAACTTATTTTTCTTCAGCTGCTCTTGTATTTAATGTAAATGTATAATGTGACTTCTCCCACAATGATCAATTCAATGCCAGGCTGCTGTAAGTCATGATCTGGTGCTTGCCTGTTCTCTGTGGTGAAAAAAAAAAAAAAAGTCAAGACAAGTTGATTTTCCTTTATTGGGTAGACGTAGGCTATGACAGATAGCCTCTTTATGAATGTTGATTTGCTTTCATTTTGTATAAAAACTCTTTGTTTATTTAGTGTGAAAGTACGGTTCTCTGCAGAAGCTGCTGCTTTGTTACCTAAAATTTCATTCATGTCTGAGGAAAATGTTACTGCCTTAAGTACCAAGCCACTGAAAACGTCTGAACAGAGCAGTGATGCTGGTAAAAATCCTGCAGAGACCAAGCAAAATACAGACAGCACAGGTAAGCCTGCTAAAGCTGACCTATATGTGTTCTCACTGCTAGTTCCTCATTGATGTGCATCCAGCAGTGTGTTGTCGTCACATTCTGGTGTCCCCTTGGGCTAGAACTTGATGCATGGTCTTGTGTAAACCTGTGCACAGAGCTACCTTTTGGGCTGGAGTCTCTCCTGCTCAGTGATTTGTGTTAACCAGTTCCATTGATCCAGCAGAGACCTAATGTGACTGTTGGAGACCTACAATACCTGTGAGGAGGGGTTGAGGTGCTTGATTGTCTTTTGTCTGGCAGAAAGAAGGGTAAGGGAGAATTTGGTAGCTACCACCAACTAGTTGAAGGAAGGTTAGAAGGACAATGATGCCAAGCTATTTTTAGTAGTGGCATACAATGTAACCTGTGGCTGTTCCCCCTTATTAAGTCTTTAGTGTCTCAGGTTGGATGTTAGGAGGGAAAATAAGACTTTCCTAGGTAGGTATTCCAGCATTGTAGCAGATCATTTGTGGAAGTTGTAGAACCTCCATCCTTTGAGGTTTTAAACACGACCAAACAAAACCAGGACCAATGTGATATAGTATTGACGCTAGGCATGCTTTGAATCAGAAGTTGAATTAAATACCTCCCCAGGTCCTTTCCAGCTAATGTTTGTATGAGTTTGTAGTTATGTATCTAAAGAGTTGAAATCTAGTCTGTCACTTAGAAGGTATGGGGATGGAGAAGTAACTATACCAGTAATCTTTCTTGGAGGCACAAATCTTTGTCTGGCTTCCAGACCAGCAGATGAAACAATTTTAAAATCTCCGCTCTGATGGGATTAGCTCTAAACAGTTCACGTTATCCCTCCCTGGAAGAGTTTAGACTTCAGATCAGACTGCTGAGCAGTCTGATCTGAAGTAGTCTGAGTCTGTCTTGGCCTGTCATGTTCACAAGCTTTGATATCATTGAAAACTTTGCATAGCTGTTCTAACAAGTCAAGAACTGAAGCTGGATGGCACTGAAGAGAATTAATCTGATGGCTCTAGTTTTGCTTTTTCTTGCATTAAAAAGTCTAACGTGCACATTGACAGTGCACTGAGGTGTGGGAGCCAAAAGCAAAGCTTAAGTCTTGAACTTTTGCTTCCTGGCAGAGTGGGATGACCTTATGCTTGAAAAGCTTCTTATGGGAATGGAGTGAAACTGTGAACTTGACATGCTGCTCTGTTGAAGTCTCCTGGCAATTTAAGTTTCTCAAGTTCAGAACAGATACTGATTTGGCAGGTTACCTATGCTTTTGGTATTTGTTTGGTTTTTGTTTGTGTTTTTACTGGGGCCTTGCTTAGTAGAGAGCTGAGAACTTTTTTTCCTCTCCTGGGGCTAATTAGAACTTCTGTATGTTTGTCAGGCCATGTATTAATGTCCAGGTTAAGATTAGTCAGTGAGATTAACAGTACTCAGTCATAACACTAAAAGTCATAGCTGTAGACTGTATGAAACAAGGCTGTAGCCTGCAACTGGTATAGGTCATCTGCCTCCTGCATCCCTTTAATTGGAGGGTTGGAAAGATTTCTTGGGTGGGCTTTCATAGAAGGTGTAATAGTAGAGAAGCCTATCCTAGCATTTGAGGATGCATTCAGAATGCATATACTTGTGGGAGGGGTCCTGGGAGAGTAAGGAGAGACTGGGAAAGAATCTCTGTTAATGATTATCTAGGAAACTGCCGCACAGGTGAGTATAGGAAGGTTTGAGTAACGTATTGGCAATGTGTAAAAGGTGGTAGTCATGAGGATGTCTAATGCAAACACTAAGTGTACCATTAATACTTTTATCTCTAGATAAGAAGTCCAAACGAAGTACAACATCCTCCCAGGTAAGAAACTATCTGCTGCTCTCTTTCGGAAAGAACCTGGGGGAATATTCCAGTATAAGCATAGCCAGAAGGTGGAGAGTATTATTTTCTATTGCTCACAGCCTCCAAAGTAAATATACAGAATGCAGTTTTGCTTATCTGTATGATGTAGCCAAATGGGGTAGTTACCGGCTTAAAAAAAATCTTAAGAGTCTCTTTTCCTTTTCCCAGAGCATAGTGGAACAAGAACATCCTGTTCACAATGACAGAGGAACTTTTTCTTTTCAGGTAGGGCGTCTGTCAGTGTCTAGTTTTAATGTGTGCGGGCAGTTCCTTCACTGTACTACTTTGTGAAAAGTAAAAGTCTGGTATAGATGCCTGTCTGATAGCTCAGTAAGTCTGAGTGGATTCATGTTAAGAGTGAGTGCTGGAAATCTCTTTCTTCATAAGGTATGGGAGCTCTTTCAAACTGTCTTTTGGTGTGATGCAGTTCTTCTAAATATCTCAGTCTGTGAGCCTCGGCATATTAAAATTTACTGTGGCACAACTAGTGCATACAGATTTCTAACATCAAATAACCGTGACCTGACTGATAATTCACTTAGGAGGAAGATATTCTGTATGAAACCAGATTAATACTTTGTTTGAGCACCCTGGTTGACTTGTGATTGTTGGGTACTACAAACAAACACATTTAAAATTCTGTTATGTGACACAAATCTCATTTCCATAGCTATCACAGTTTGTATGGTCGGGGGAGGAACAGAATAGCTGTTTATGCTTTAGGGCGAGTATGATCAAAATTTTACATGTTAAATATACACTTCTTGTTATCTTTTCTCTGTCGTGAAGTAAGTTAAACACCGATGCCTAAAGGTCTTTGATAAAGGTCTTAGATTACCAGAGTGTGTAATCACGGATAGGTGCAATGATTTTGCATTTGGAATTCTGTTGAAACTTGCAGATATGCTGGTATCCTCAGAACAGTATGCTTGGCTGAAAGGAACCAACAGACCCTAAATGACTGACTTTTTTCATGCTTCAGCAGAGGTGGCTTCTTACCAGGGCAACCCTTTTGTGAATGAGAAGAATGCTGACTTTCCTATTCCTTATTTTCAGTTTTTTTTTAACATCAGCTCTGATAACCAAGAAGGTCTCTACAGCCTATATTTCCATAAATGTGTTGGCAGTGATGGGCCGACTAATGATCAGCGGCTATTTAGTCTTGATGTGAGTATAGCTTCTAAAGTATAATTAATTCATTCACTTAGACTGAAATACACAGCTTTCAATTCTAGCTTGTATACCAAGCACACGCTGTACATGAGTGTATATATGGGGTGGGAAGTGATTCAGAGTTGTGCATTTAATCTCTGTAGTGGCATTTCTGAAGGAATCAACTACAGTAAGAAGATTAAAATACTAGTTTTGGAGAAATGTCTGGAAATCTGATGACTGTGTGTGGGCTGTGTTCAGTCTACACAGTTGTGACTAGATGCTGTAATGAGATGGGAGCTAAAACAGCTGTTCGTGTTTTGCTGTGCTCAAAAATCACTTTTTTTTTCTATACACAATTGCAGATATTGAGGCTATTGCTGCAATCTAAATTGTTGGTATTTGTGAATTCAGTGTTTTTGCTTTTTCTGGCCTAATTAAAGATGTGTTTTTACACTGTTAGATGTACATCTTAAAGGCAATATGTTATAGCAAATGTCTTATCACTTCTAACATCCAAGGGATTGGTCCTATGCCCTTTTGAGCCAGAATGCATTATCACAACTCAGGCTTTCACTTTTTTCTCTTTCTTGTGCTCATGCTGGCATCCACGCTGGTGTATAGTGAGCTATTCTGTAATGAATCCTGTCACTGACTGAGGTAGCTCTCAGCCAGATCAGACCCTTGAACTGCTTTTTACATGGCTGTGCTGATGCTACTGCAAGGGAAGAGCAAGGGAACATGCACGTGATAAAACTTAGCAGCCCTAACTTAACTCAGGCTAGACTACTTTAAATCCGCTTCTGAAGTTGTATGTTTAGAAGACCAAGTTTTTTAATTGCTGTTTGTTGCTTTGACCCACTGAAGAAATTAGAGAAGAAAACCTGGATAACTAGCCTGCTTGGCTGTACTGAGATGTAGGAGTTTCAGTGCTTCAAACTAGTCTTGATGCTTTATTTTAGTGAAGTCCTAGCACATATAACCAAGCCATTGAGGGGCATAAATAGGATGTTAAATAAAGCTTTTGTTTTCTCAGTCACAGGATGATAGGCTTGCAGGAGAGTGCTTCCTTTCTCTTGACAGGTGAAGAAATCCACTCTAGTAAACCTAAGAGTGAGTTTTTCAGCTATGTATGACTCTTTCCACACCTAAAATTGGGACTGTGTTAAAACCTCTGCTTCTTTATGCAAGGTTGTAGATACTGTTTCTGAATCAAAGATGGGCAAACTCTGTGAAATTTGGTATAGAGAACAACTGTTCTTTGGGAAAATTACTTGGTCTTTCTGAATTATGCTGCATAACTGGAGCACTGGAAGGAACCTCTGTCCTTTTCTGCTTTTCAAGGAAATTATTGTTGTGGGTATAATTTTGCAAACCGTTTTGAGATTCTTGAGGATGAAGAATTGCTTTTATTTTTTCTTTGAGTCTCATAACAGTCACTGCTTCAGAAAAGCTAATTTTAAATGAGCAAATTTGATTGTGAACTGTAATTGTTAACTCAGTGCTTTAACAAAATGTTTCTTCAGCTGTACACATAACATACCTTTAATATTCAGATAGAAATTACGGAGAAGAATCCTGAAAGCTACCTCTCAGCTGGTGAGATCCCACTGCCCAAACTTTATATTTCCATGGCTATCTTCTTCTTCCTGTCTGGGACTGTATGGATCCACATACTTCGTAAACGCAGGTAGGCGGACTAGTTCAGTGTCAGTGACAACTATGGGTCTACCTTGTTTGATTTTTATTTTTTTTATTCCTTCTCTTATAATACCCAATTCACAGTCAAATTTAGTCACTTAAAACTCCAAATCTGGATCAATATTGTATGCCTAATACATACACTTTATAGTTGAACACAGTTACTTCTGTCAGTATCATTGTTGCAGACCATTGTTCTAAAGTTATCAAGTCCTTATGTTAAGAAATTCTTCATGTAGTGTACATGTTAAGATATATTCTGGCAACAAATAAACAGGAAATTCCTGTAGCTGATGACAAAAGGAGAGCACTAGACAAAAAAACTGGACGAAATTTTCTTTTTCAAATGGGGAATGGCAGCTTATGGCAGTGGAGAGCCATAAGCATTTTGATTGTAATAGAAAGTGGTAGGAATTCCTAGTTGAAGACCACTCTTCTTAATAGCTAAAGCATAGCAGCAGAAGCCAGGAGCACCTATGGTTCCATTTTGGCTTTTCTTCTGACTTAGTCTGAAGTTCACTTGGTGATCAGATTATTTGGTAGTCTGGAGTTCACTTGGCAGTGTGGTATAGTGACTTGGGGGTGAAGGGTGGAGTGATACACATTTGAATTATGCTTAGCAAATTTTCTAACAGTTATGATCTATGTATGCAAGATGTTCCTATGAATTACTATTTTTAATTAACCCAAGTATTAAAAATCAGCTGTAGAACATGTTGAAATGTTGTTCAGGATGTTGCAAAAACTTGGACTGCAGGATTAAAGGGAATCCTTTTACACTGATAGTTGACTCAGCGTAGGAGTTACTGTTTGACATTTATAGGTTTTAAAGAAATACACCTGGGAACTGAAATTTTTACTGCTGGCTTTTAATTGATGCTCTTCCTTCCTTTTTTTCTTCCCAGAAATGATGTCTTTAAGATTCACTGGCTAATGGCAGCCCTCCCTTTCACAAAATCTCTGTCCTTAGTCTTCCATGCGGTACGTATGATGTCTTTGCCTTAAGCTGTTCAACTAGGAAGTAGAATCCAGGGCATGCTGTTAGAGAAATCTGCTGGGGGGAGAGGGGGGAGAACAGGAGGAAGAGAGAAGTGTCCTTCATATTGAAGCATTGGAACTGAACTGCAGCTGTTTGGTAGAAGCGATTCAGTTTTCATCAGCAAATTCTGACTTTAAATACAATTGAGATCATGGCCTGAAGTGGTGAAGCAGCAAGCATGTAGAGGGTTGAATGAGTTCCATGAATTCTAATGTTTTGGCCGTCTGAGGCTGGCCTGAAAGCTTGAGCTATGGTGCTGCTTCAGCTACGTGGCTTGCAATAAATGTTAATAAATGGAAACCTTGATGAGTGTTGGTAAAATTCAAAGGCACTACTTTAGATGGAGTAGTATGGTGTACTGTAACAGATCTAATGTTATAAGCTTTAACGCTTTCAATACATAGTCTCCGTTGGATTGTATTGACTTTGCCTTCCCAATAGAAAGATCTCATAAACAAAGGTAATGGCAAGCATTTCATCCTTCAGTGTTTGTGCCAGCCATGATTGTCACCTTCATAATAGGATAACTGCTGCAAACATTTTTGCAAGTCTAATGAATTGAATCTGGTTTCCAGTGAAACTACAAAGCCTCTAGTCACCTAATGCAACTGAACTTGAACAATGAAAGAATAAATAGGTTACAAATGCAGTTGTTTACCTATAGTTAAGTGTGGGAGCTGTGTGGAAATACATGTAGGCTGTATGAGATATATCCACTAACGTTTAGGAAATACAGCAAATGGAAATGACCTTATTGTTGCTAAACAAAACTAGAACATGTTGGGAGGAAGTAATGTCTAAGATGTAACAGAGCTGAGTTTGTACACACTGACTGGAAAATGAAACTGGAAGTGGCTGTCAAGCAGACCTATTTTATAGACATGGGTGGGGTGCTGATGAGCAGCTTGTAAAGTAACATACTGTATTTTCTGCTTCCAGATCGACTATTACTACATTTCTTCTCAGGGATTTCCTATGGAAGGCTGGGCTGTTGTTTATTACATCACTCACCTGTAAGTATATCAGAAGATTAATGTGATAGATTCAAACAATGGAATTGAATTCTCTGTGGGGCTGCCCCCCTCCTGAGAAAACTGGAAAATTGCTGATTCTTTGGTACTATGGTCTGAATGACAAGACAACAATCAGCCCTGTGTGAAGGGGAAAGCTCTACTTACAGAGGGCAGCTGCAGAGAATTGGCACTTATCTGGGTGGAGGAGTAAAAGGAGAAGAAATGCTTTGCTTTGCTTTGTTCATGCTAATATTCAAGTATCTAATTTGCTCTTGGTGTGAATGGTAAGAGGGTACAGCTGCCAGTGTTTTCTCGTGTTCATGATGGTGAATGGATGACTCCCCCAGGAAAAGATTGCATGTATTGACAATTGTGAATGAAGCGTAATATTGCTGTGATACACAGTTGTAAGAAAGTACATCTGTTTCGCTGTTGTAGGATAAGCACTTGCCAAAACTATGAATAGCAAGGCATTTGTTTGGGTTTGTGGCTTTACTGATTGTAGGCGAGAACCTGGGCAGAAGAGGAAATGCGGTAAAATAAAGTCTCTCACTGTGGTGTCTGTTTCTTTCAGACTGAAGGGTGCGCTTTTGTTCATCACTATTGCCCTTATTGGTACAGGCTGGGCTTTCATTAAACACATCCTGTCAGATAAAGACAAAAAAATTTTCATGATTGTCATCCCACTTCAGGTGAGGACTGAGCTGTGTCAATACTTACTATCTTGTGGGAGAGCTGCTTGTGTGAACTGTAAAAGGCTGTGAATCCTTCACAAAATACTGCATAGTTACTGCTTGTATAAGCCTGTTGGTTACAGTGGAAGTTGAGCTGGAATTTCTTGGGTCAGAAGTTACTTCTGTAACTTTCCCTGCTTTTTCCCTGTATTGAGTATGAGATAGTGGTGATCGAATAGTGTCAGCAAATTAACAACTAGCTATAAGGTAGGTGTATTCATGCTTGGGCAAAACTTGGGCTGCAAAACAGTACTAAACTATTAAGCAGAGAAATTAAATTTAAGTTGTCATTTCTGAAATGCTTGCTGAATGGGCTTAAGAAAAAAAAGGAGAAAACTGAGACTTGTAGGTCTGTTGGGTCTGAGGGAAACTTTCCCAGTGTGTTCAGAGTGATCAGTGCTTGTGTCCTCTCCAGGAACTGAAGTAAATAGGAGGGCAGCACTTCTTTTTGTTGTAGATAGAACAGCCTTTCAAGATGGAATCCCTTACCCAGCTGCAAAACCAGAAGTATATAATTAGTGTTTGAGGCTCTTCTAGAGCTTGGATATGGAGAACAAAACATGGTCAATGACCAGTTTGAATTATTGGCTTAATTTAGAATAATGTGTTTAAACTGTTTGCTATATGTGTGTACAGAGAGTCCTGTTTCTGTATTTTTAATAAATAGATCTTGCTCGTTTTATCTCTACTGATACAGTAGATTCAGCATAGTATGTAACAAAAAGGACTACTTTCTGAATGTCAGCAGAAATAAGTTCCAGTAAGTTTTATTTCTGTAAATCCTGTGAAGATGCTGCTGAACGTGTGGCTTCCTTGACATGGAGCTGCAGAATTGTTGATGTTACTGAATGGGCTCTTTCTGCAACTGTGGGACTACTTTTGCTGAACTGGCAGCCCACATCTAGTATCTCCTTGGAAAGCTTCTGAAACCTTTAAGCATGTTTTGTCCTGTAGGTACTGGCAAACGTGGCATACATTATCATAGAGTCAACAGAAGAGGGGACAACTGAGTATGGACTGTGGAAAGAAATCCTCTTCCTGGTAGACTTGCTGTGTTGTGGAGCCATCCTATTTCCTGTGGTATGGTGAGTCACTGTATGTGTTGTGTGGCTTCTGAGCCCTGATGACTTGAGCTCCTTCTGGACTAATGGGTATTGACTGCTAGTTAGAGCTAAGGATACTGCCAAAGCAAAGAAATGTCAGTCCTTTGGAGTCAAGTGTTATGTTAACTTTTTTTTAAACTGTTATCAGTCTTAACACTTCAATCTTGTGTTGTGGAAGATACTTGTTTTGGGGATGTTAAAGTGGGGGTAAGGTAAGGTGGGTGGCGATTTAAGTGTGACCAGCATAGTGCAGGCTATAGGTGCTTTTGAAACTTGGAATTTTGCTGAAGTGCTGATTCTCTTACATTGAGAAACAAGGTTTTGCTTTACTGACTTAGGTTGGAAACTAGGCTGCTAAATTCTAAAACAGTAGTGCTGTCTAAGATCAGTCCTGCCTTCAAGCAAAGTCGCTGTATTTTTACTTGACTGCTTAGAAGAAATAATCCCACAGGGAGCATTTCCCTGCCCTTCCTTCCACTCTACTTGGTGAGGAATAATGTTGGTTATGTAAAACTCAACCAAAACACAGATAATTCAGATAAACACTATTATTGCTTCTTGCCAGTTAGAACATTGATCTTCTAAATTCATTTTAGTCTTAATTGGATAAACAGCTGGATTTAAAAGGATATGAAGGAGCTTCTGGCTCCTTAGTTAGTAAACACAGAATATTCTTATTTTTCTCCAGTATTTTTTTTGAAATGCAGAGTGAATATAAACGTCTGTCTAGTAAAAGTGTCATCACTCTAGAGTGTGTAACTCTTTCAGTTTCAGAGAACCATTTTGTAAGTGCGTGCACACCTGTGTGTGTAAAGACACACATACGTGTTGCTCAGTAGATGGGACTAAGCTTCAGCTTGGCTTGTGAGGGTAGGTTTCAGTTGTCCTTACCTTCCCAATTGTCCTCTGTGTAAGGGCAAAACCCTACACAGTCTTAGTGGCCTTCTGCCAAGGCTGGGAAATGTCTTCCAAGAAATTTCCACTACCCACCTGTCCCTTCCCCTACTCCTGTCAAAATGCTGCAGCTCTTCTGAGGTTGAGAACATTTGGGTATGGTAAATAAAACTGCAGGAATATTAATTGTAGAGAGTCTCTGGTTTTGTATGATAAAGGTGACTTTTACAGTTGCAGCTCTTACTACCTAATGCTAGAATCCATATGTCCTACCTAGTGATATGCTGGTAGAAAACTTGCTTTCCATAAAGGAACTGTATCTGAAGAACAAATGCATTTGGGTGAACTGCCCTGTAACTGTTTACAGTGTGCAGCCAGTGTTCCTGCATTGTCATGGTACCAACATAAACTGGCAGTGAAGCCCAGGGCATAAACTCCTGCCCCTTTTTCGTCTGGGTAGTGTCACTGCAGCTGGTGGAATAACTCACGTGAGCAAGGTGACTAAGACTTGGCCCTTGAATTTACATTCCTGCAGGGTAGCTTCTGTTACATAAGTTGCCTATGTAGACATGTAAGCTGTAATCAACTATTTAAATGAAAAGAGCTTAAAAGAGCAGTAAGATGCCAAATGCTTGGCAGTACTCTGAATAGCAGCTCAGCTTAATTGTACAAGTGGAAAGCATTATGCTGGAAAATGCCTCAGTTTCTCACTGCTCCCTCCTTCCCACAAACCTTTCTGTAGGCTGAGTAGGCTTTAGCAATCGGCTTGCTTAATCACAAGGAGATACAGATACTCGAACTAACTGCCTGAAACCGGGGAGATGGTAAAATATATGCAGTGCCAAGCACGCTTAGCACAGTTAATTACGAACACAGCCCAGCCATAAAGAGCTAACAAAACTTGTCAGAGTTCTAGAGGGCTGCAGTGAAAAGAGAGTGCAAAAATTATAGCTAATCTACTTTTTTATTATTATTATTTTTATTCAGGTCAATAAGACATTTGCAGGAGGCTTCAGCAACAGATGGGAAAGGCAAGTAATCTGTAATTTTTTTCTGTTTTATGCTACATGCCATAAGATAATGCCAGAATTTCAAACGCATGATGCTGATTTAAAGTATGTAAACTAAAACTATAAAGCTACACTATGTTATTGTCACACTGCTGCTTTTCCTTGGTGGGTTCCTGGGAATAACTTCTGGAAGATTATCTTTTTCATGTATTGCTTTGAATATCAGAACTCATATGTGGAACTCGTTCTCTGGTACTTGCACAGCTCTGTGCTTGAGCTGGACATGACATCTAGAGCAAATTGTCTTGACAGATTTACAGTCTTTTCTCAGACTCGAGTCTTCAGAAGCAGAACTAGAAATGAATTCCACAATTGCTGACTATTAGTCAAAATAGACCCCCTTATTTCAATTTCTGCAGAAATCTGTTCCTGCCAGAATAGAGAAGAAACCTCATTACGAAACAAAACATGAATTGGCATTCAATGTAACACAGTTCTTGACTTGCCCATGTTTGTACAGCAGCTTAAAGGACTGCTTGTGTAAAGTCAAGTTATGTTTATTGTAGCAGTGAAAATGAGATGATAGATGGAAATCCAACCCAAATATGGCTTCTGTAGCGTGTGCTTTTCCTGCCATATCTGTTCAATTCTTCTGAATTAGTTCCTCAGTTGGCTGTAAATGCAAGCTGTGGAGTATAGCACTGGCTTCCTTGGAAGCCAGCAGCCATTTCAGTATTCTGTCATTTGATGTCTTACTCTTCTTGAAAGCTTTATTTGTAGAAGGTCTTTTGTTGGTAACATCCTTTCAACCCAGTCTTATCCTTTAACTCTTGTCTCTCCTTTCTGGACATAGCCTCTTCAGTCTGGATACTTAATTCCAGCCATTCCCTTGGCTTCCCCTGAGACACTTGCATTTCAGTGCAGATTGCTTCTGTAGTCTAGTAGGTGAAGTGTAAGGCTGGGTACTGAACTCAGCTCTGTGCAGACCACAGATTAGGCCTTTTCTTGCCATCTGTTAAATTGAAACAATACTGAAGATGAGCCCAGCATTTTTTTTGAGATTCCAAGCTGTTAAAAAAAAAAAAAAACAACTATACACACCCCACCACCCCCAACCTAAAAGGGGAAAAATATTGATTTTTTTAATAGAAGCCAATGTAAAAGAGGTTAGTGTTGATAATGTAACATGGACGTTATTGGTGGCTTTCTCATAAGTGTTGTTCACATGTGTTCAGTGACATTCACTGGTGAACTTATTTTACCTTGTCCACTGAGCGTATGTTCTGGAGTATTTATGCTCTTACTGTTAAAAAGTCTGCTTAAATGTAGATGTTCCTTGAAGCAGTCCCTGCCTTCTGAACTGAGGACTTCACATATGTAAGGCCTGCTTCTTAGCTGAAGCCACTGCGTGTGACTGCAATAGAGGTCAGCTTTCCTGTAACTAAGGCAGAACTGCTGGGTGGCAATGGAGTCTGACTATTCTGACGCTGAGCACTCCACAGCAAGTGCAAGGAACGGAGACACAAGACCTCTAGCCCTGTGTGGCCTCAGGTGATCACCCCGTGCCTACCTTGCACTTGATGGTTCTTATCACAAGATGGTGCTATGGAGTTTGCTTAACTTCAGAACGTACTGGGTGAAGGAGAAAAGTGAGGTGGCCAACGTCAAGGATGTTCAGCATAGAGACTGGACCTGTCCACTGTTCATCGTAATGGGTAGAATCTAGATCTGAGTAAAACCAAGCACTTCTGAAGGATGCATTGTACTATATAATGGAGGTAAAAGAAAACACTGATCTGAGAATAACTGGTTGTATCTTTATAGCTAGTCAGTGCTATGCACAGTAGCCCCTAAGGACTGTTCTTAGTCCTCTGTTTTGTGGTGTTCTCCACGGATAATGGTGCTCTTTATCATGAACGCTGCTTGTGGATCACCTCCTGCTGTTACCATGCTTTACCTGCTGACGTTGCCATCTGGTTGTGCAGATCCTGCAAGTTCAATAATTGTGTGTTGAGAGGGACTTAGCAACTGTGTTATGCTATGCTAATAATAAAAGAAGCTAAGGAAAAAAATTTCAGGGAAAATGTAAGCACCAGATTGTGGCCAGGACAGGCACAGTGCTGGGACTCACTTGTGAAGTACAGCATGGTTAGAGTATTTAGAGGCTGTTGATAGAAGCCCATGGGGAGCAAGAGAATGGCAACGTGATGCCAGAAGCAGAATGTTACCTAATGATGTCATGCTGCTAGTGTGCCTGGTTGAGAAAACCAAAAGTGATATGGTTGCACTGTAATAAGGTAAAATCATTCCTGTTAGGCTTATAAATGAATAGTCTTGTCTAGAACCACATGCTCTTAACTCTGTAGGCTTCCCTCAGAGGCCCTGTTCTGCAGAGGTGCTGCACAGTGTCTTAGCCTCTCACAAGAAAAATAGGACCACTAACTCTAAAATAACCAGCATTTTTTTTTTCCTGCAAATGAACATAGTTTTCTCCTGAAGTGGTGAGAACTACCAGATCTTTCATATGCAGTTTAACTGCTGTGCTGCCTGTCCTGTGGTTAGAGCTGACTGAATCTTGTGCAGACAGTTCTAGTTGGACTGCCTATTGCTTGCTAGGATTTATTGTCTAGTATTACCTCAAAGGCTGCTTTCCCTGTTCTCTCACACAGACTTCATTAACTTGTAGGGTGTCTTGGGAAATTATATACTATAAATTCAATAGCTGTTTTTCCTGGTGCTGTCTTCTGGTGACCTTCTTGCTGGTGAGAAAGACCAAAGGTAAATTATTTTTGCTTCCTTGTGTCTATTAGAGCTAACAACTCTGGGACTTCATGGCTCAGTATCCTGGTGGTATTTCCTGACTGTCTGTCCGTCTTGTCCTCTTCCAGCTACTTCGCAACCTGTTTATTAGATAGCACTCCCTTGGGTCAAGTGCAGCTACGACTGCAGCGTGACTAGACTAGAAATTAAGAAGGAGGCTGGTTGGACTACTAGTGTTTTAATCTATAACAGCTGTGTTTGCCATAGGCATCTGTATTAGCAATGTGCAATTATTAAAAAGGCTTATGGAAAGTAGCAATGATTTGGAGTCACTAGGTAATGGTCTTTTAAACTTGCTTTTTTTTTTTTTTTAAAAAAAGATTATTTTTCTAAAGTGGGAAGGCTAGAGGAATGGGTCTAAAGCCATAATTATCCAGGGAGACCTTACATGCACAGATGCTGTGGATTGCTAGTAAAGAGTAGACATGGCACAGTGATGCAGCTGAGTTTGAGCTCCCTCATTGTTTGCTTTCTTTCCCTTGAAGGTGATCTTTAACTCTAAAGCAAAATATCTGACCTAAACAGGCTTCTTATCTTGCACAGCAGTGGGCGTAAACATCCCATTTTTAGAAGCTTTTTTCTTCCCCTTTTAAAATTGCCACCTTCAGACTTAAGCAAGTGCCTAGCTGCAGCTCTTTGGTCTGTCGCTGTATCTTCTTTCAGATGGGAGCCAGTGCTCTCTGTCCGTTTCTAGATTTGCATTACAAATATCTGCGGATTTAAGGAAATCAGCCAGCAAACTGAGCTAGAATTGTTTGGGCTGGAAAGCTGCTCAACTACTGCATCGTAAGAAAAGGAAGAGAGGGAGTACATTGTAGTAAACTTGCTTATTTTTGTTTGAAACTCAAAGTTCTTGGTTGCTCGACCTCTTTGAGTCTTATAACCCACTCTTATGTATCATGTCATCTGTTGTTTGAGGGAGAAATGGAGGGCTGGAAACACCACTGCAGTTTTTATGTGTGTGATGAGAGACGTGAAACTCAGTGCAGTCTGATCACGAATGCTTAGTTATTTTCCTGAAGCACTGCAGCATGTCATAGTTGGCAGCAGAATTAGGGGAAATACATTGCAGTGTGTAGCTCCCAGGCAACATTCCCTGTGTGCTGTGCAGTGGGCAAATGATGATTAATGCTTTCATGCTCGCCACCATGTCAGGAAAAACCATTTGCTGTCTTCAGTGTCTTCCTGCTTCTGTACCATGAAAATGCTGTGAACAAAGAGCCTGGTCCTGCGTGGTGCAGAACACTCTCCGTTTAGCTGAGCTCAGCAGACGCTGGAGGCAATGACTCCATGGAGACCTATGGTAAAACACCTCTGCAGCTCTCTAGTGAGGAGGAGAGGGTAGTGCAGGGGTAAACATGCTCTAGGCAGTACATGGGCATCTGAAACCTTGAGATAAAGATTAGTGATTTAAGTGTCGAGACCTCAATGGATAGCACTGGAGAGTTGGGAAATGTTGAGAAATGAAATAGGCCTATTATGTTCTAGTGTACCACTTCCAGGCACCCTAGATAGCTGTCTAGGGTTGATGTAGCAATTATGTGTTGGAGATATATTGCTTATCCTGTACTTCGGACTTTTTTCTGACTCTGGTGGGGAACTTTTGTGTCAAATGGCTAAAGTGTTTCAGAATATTCAAGATTAACTAGGCTGTGCCATTTCCTCAGGCATGACACTGAGAGTTACTGCATCTGTTTGCTTGACAACTTCATTCTAGTATAGGAATGCTTTTAAATAGAGTTCTGTAGAGATTATAGAGCCATACTTCTCAGAGTTACTGCTGGAGTTGCTTTTTGAGGTCTAGATCTGCATGTGTGCCTTCATTCTTGGGGAGAACAGAAAACTTTCATTTACTATTTGGTAATGGCACAGATTGCATCTCAAATGCACCAGAGTTAGTATAGCATGTGAAGCATTGTAGAAATCATCTTAGCTGTACTTCAGCATGTTCACTCAAGATGCATTACGGTTTGCCCTTGTGTACTGTATTCTCCGGACTTCAGCTCCTTATGCCCTCAGCTGCAGTCCTCTTATTGTTATTACATACATATTCTAAAAAGGTCAGATTTATTAATTGTCTGATGGTGTGCAAGGCTTTAGTGGATGGTCTGACTTTGTTTTTCACCATCTTACAGGGTGTCTCAGCATTTGAAATTGGCACAGGGGGCAATCTGAAAAAGAGACTGATTATCAGACTACTGTGGTATGCTATGTTTTGATTGATGTAGATCAGGCTATTGCAGGCACAAGCTGTTGAAGTGAATGGTGATAGAGAGGGGAAACTGAGGGAAGCAAGTTATAGATGTTATAAACCTTTCTTGGAGGATAGCTTTTATCTTTTTAATTACTCTGTGAAAGAGATGGAACACAAGTATGAATTAATTTGTAAAACCTTTGGTAGAAAGTATCTATTTTTTTTTCTCCTTCTCTGCAGTTAAGTCCTGTTCCTTGAAGAATGGTTATCATACCTGAAACATAAATTTACCCAACCTTTACTGCATGCTGTGATTGCTGCTGTGTTATCACAGCTTTACAGGTTGAGGCTGCAAGTGATTCAAGTTGTAAGTGACAGCTGCTGGCCTAGCCTCTCTCCTTGCAAGTGTTGCTGTCAGTGTCTGGACTGCCAGCCTAAGGTGAATTGAAGTCTTAAGTGTCCAGTGTAGCGAGACTCAAGTGTTACTGCTTAGAGTGCATTCAGCCTGTGAAAAAGCAATTTCCAGGCTGCTGATGCCAAGCAATGATGATTTTTAGACTTTCTGCAGAACAGTGTGTGCTGGAACTTTGAGCTGCTTAAAAAAAAACTGGCAGAATTTTGTAGACGTGCATTAATACTGACTTTAGTATCTGATAGTGGAGAGAAATATTCCTGAAGTTGAGGCAGCTAGAGGAGAGCACCTAGTTGTGATAAATAAGCAAGCTAGCTTCCAGAGGTGGCTCTTCAGTCTTTCTACTTGGTAGTGGTTATATTTTTTCCTCCCCTCACCCTTCTTTTCCATTCTTAGCCATTCTAGATATCTGGATGTACTAACCTATGACTGTTTGGTATTGATTATCATGACGACGAGGAGACATCTTGAACTGTGCTCTGTCAGTTGGAAGAGGTGGCATTGTGACACTTCATTTGGCAGCCAGATATCTGGCTTAACTATCCTTTCCTCCCATGCACTGCATGAATCCAACAGAAATGACTCCCCAGCTCACTCAGTTGTTGACTGTAAAGCACTGATGGCCTGGCAGTTTGAATCACAGCTGTTGAGTTGGTGTTCCTTTAGCTACAAAGCCTGGTAATTCTCATGGCCTGTCATTGCACCAGTTGGTGGCAGTTCTTAAAGATGAATGCGTTGAGTTCAAAATAGATCCTTCTGTGTATAAACCGGTATGTGGTAAATCACATGATCTTCATGGTCACACTTAATGTAGCTCCCCTTTAAATAAGACAATATTGCTTCCCTGCTTCACAATTTAATGAGCTTGTCCTGTATATTTATGTGCTTTAATCTTTCTTCAACTGTATTATGAAAAGCTTTTAATATTAGGTTATCTGGTAGTGCACTAGACCTGTGAAAATCCCTAAGTTTTTGCTGTTTAAATGTGGGGAAACCAGCTTTTGCGAGGGACAGAAATGAGGGAGGGGTAGGTAAGCCAAGGTCTCAGGGCTGATTTAGCTACCAAGGATTTAGTTAGATTCTTGTTCTAACAGTTCCAAGTCTTGCCATCTGTTGCCCAGTGAAGTGCTCTGTGTTTCACTGCCGATATTCTATAGATGCAAGTCTAGAGCTGGGGCATTGCTTTCTGGAGCGCAGAACTGTGTATTGCAAAGTAGATACTATTCTATGTTCAGTGTTTCATACTGCAGTCCAGAAGGGAGCATCCTCCCAAAACCGAGAGCTAGTGTTCCTCTGACATACTGTGCTGTAAGATTGCCCCCATGAGCACAGTCTTGCCCAAAGCCAACCCAATCTGCCTGGTGTTCAGATGAGTGTTGCACAGTACAGGCTTTAGCTGCATGGAAACAAACTTGGTGTTCCTTCACAAATAAGGTTTCCTTTTGTCCTCTTGAGCTCTGGCTCTGCTTTCTCTTACTGACATACCCTGTACTCTGTCAAAAGTTAAACATACAGTTTGAAACTGTGTAGAAGCCACTGGCAGGCACTAAATCAAAACTACTCTTAGCTTAGTTTTATCTACCTGTCAGTTGGTTTATGCCTTGTGTAAGTTGGGTGCTGTTGTCATAATATGTCTGCTGGAGGAGGGTTTGTATCTGTCTCAAGGTGTCCATACCTTTCAGTGGGTCTCCTGGAACGCTAAAGGTAAGTTTTGGGAAGTGACTCTTGATCTCTAGGTTATACAGAGTAGATTTATAACAGAATGTTGTCTGTCTTCACTGTAGCTTATGTAGTGGGAACCTAGACCAGTTTGAGTGGTGTATTTGACATTTATCTTTCCATAAGAAGAGCTTCATCATTTCTGTCACAGGAAATTAAACATTTTTTTGGTAGCTGTGACTCCTCCTCTTCCTGATTTATAATACTGTATTTTGCACTGTTGTGAACCTAGGAAATCTTATGTGCAAATACATACAACCTTTTATTAATCTGCTTTTTGCAGTGGATGATTTTTGTGAGGGAGTGCAGGTGAACTTAAGCACAATGTGTTGCACTTGTGCATCTGATAAAAAAATTGTAAGGAGAGAGCTTGGGAATACCAGTATATATGTGGCTCTACTTTTCTAACTGGCATCTTGTGTTCAGTGGCTCTAAATTGCATCTCTGTATGCTGTCAACATTATCTTGGACTCTTTGCCTCTCCTGTTGTCACAAAAGCACCAAGAGTCTGTATTTGTAATCCTGCTGCACCTATAAAACCTGACTCTCAAACCAGAGTTGACAGCTGTTCCATCTGTTGTTGACCTCTGCTCATTCGCATGAATATCTGCTCTATTCCTCAAGAGCTGATGTGATTTGTCCAGTAAGCGCAGGTTAGCCTGGGGCCTTAGCTTACACGGTTTGTGACTGAAACACATGCATTTGCGATGAGAACTATTTAGTATGACTTCCCATTTCACTTAAGTTATGACTGAGCCATGAATGCTAGAGCATGCTACTTATATGTTATAATACTTCTGCTGCTGTTCAACAAGATGCAGTCATTCCCAGAGCTGTGATTACCTCAAAGTCACTCAGGTAAGCTGAAGGCACAGAGCAGGTCAGGAAGTACTCTAGAAAAGATAGGAATTTTCTAGGAGGCATTGTCAGGTGGCACGTGGCCCTTCTGGCAGGATTGAGGTGACAGTATGTAGTTGACTTTATACAGATAAGCATTAGAGGAAGGTTCTATATTGCAGAGTGTGTGCATATAAAAGCTGGTGTAAAAGTGATCTCATTGAGTTGCCTTTTTAAGAGGGAATTCGCCACAACTTAAGAGTGGTCCAGTATGTAGATAAGCCAGACTGGCACTCCTCAGAGTGCCCAGTGGGGTGTGGGACAAACCCTTCTAGTCTGGGATTACCTGAGTCCTGGTTTTGACCACTTACTTACCTTGAAGGTAAGCATCAAAAGAAACTCTGTCATTTTAACAGTTTTCTGATGGACTTTTGTGTTCTCTTGATAGCTGCCATTAACCTAGCAAAGCTGAAGCTTTTCAGACATTACTATGTTATGGTAAGTAAAACACCTGTATGCATGCATACAGAGCACTTAGAAGCAATTCAAGCCTTTTGATGGATTACTTGTTGGAAGCTACTATAGCTGATGGATGTGGTGGAGATGTTCTTAGTTCTGTGGCAGTGCTGTGCTTTGGCATCTTTGTCAACTGGGTAACAATCCTCAAAGCAACTTCCCTTTTTTTCCTAGTGGTTGCATCCTTCTGTCTATCTTTAAATTGGTTCCAGCTATTTGTAACATTTACTGATTTCCTCTGGAGACAGCTTGAGCTGCCAGTTGTATTGATGGGCTTGAATAACGTACAGTAAGCTTGCTAAAAATTAAGCTTGGGACCAAATGGTGCCTTGAGATGCATATGTGCAGTTTCTGATTAAGTCAGTGGGAGCCATGAGCATACCTCCCAGGAGAGCATAGGCTTCTTAATGATTTCCAACAGCCTCATTTCAGACTCTTATAAGTGGTAAGAATAATAAATTACAATCGTGATTCTTCAAGTTCTACAAAATCCTAATACTTAAAGCGTTTCCTGCTGTAACTTAAATGTGTTAGCAATAGCTTGAGTCGTTTGGATGTTCAACAGGCAGTAGAGCCCTCAGCCTATATCTTCCATGTTTATCGAGGAGCATAATAAGGCTAGTCTGATGTAGTGAGTTGTCTGTGAATTGCTTGAGCTATTTCTCTGGAAAAAGAGGTTCTGTAAGGATGGTGCTATTGTTCTCATCATGCTTTCTCCTTTTCCTTCCCAGATTGTGTGTTACATTTACTTCACACGGATCATTGCAATTCTCATAAAGATTGCTGTTCCATTCCAGTGGAAATGGCTGTACCAGGTATTTGCCAGCAAAGGAAAATACATCCATTCCTTGATATTATTTTCTTTTTCCTATTATTCTTTAAATATAACTGCACCAAAAAGAAATACATCCATAAATTGTTCCTCATGTTGTAGTAGAACATCTCAAAGCACAGTGCTGCACCCTGTCTCCTCCTGATTTTTATCACTGGTGTGCCTGGGGCGGCAGGAATATATTTTTAGTTTTATGTTTGTCCAGCACGGCTGCTGGATTATACATGAGATGTCTGAAAGTAATTGCATTATTGATTTTTTAGTCTTTCAATTTAAAAATGTCTGAAGGAAATTAATCAAGAACATACAAAGGAGAAAAAAATTGGTCAGGTTTGCCCTGTGTAATTGAGGCCCCAGGGAGCCAGTGAAATAGGATTTTGCTCTTCCGTCTACAGGCTTTATTTGCCTAGTGACTTTTAAATACTTGGTTTCTTAACATATAATCCAAGTAACTGTGCAGGGAGTCTTTGGAATACATTAACTGTTGAAAATACCAAACAACGTAGGGATGATTCCACCCTGCCCCCCCCCTTCATTTAAAAGCCAAGTCTTGCCGTAGTTATTTAAAAGCACTGGAGTGATGGCTAGAACTGTAACTATTTAAAGTGACAGGGAAAGCTGAAAGAACAAAGGGCTTGACAGCCTTTAGCCTGGGATTAATGATAACAGGACAGGAATTGCTTTGTTATTTCTGCTATGGCACAGGCTTCTTGGCCATTAAACCTTGAACCTTATGAATGAGCAGAAATGTTTCATGACCATGAAGGATTACAGGACTGAACTTCAATCTTGTGTTTTTACTTGCAGCTGCTGGATGAAATGGCCACACTTGTGTTCTTTGTCCTCACTGGGTACAAGTTCCGTCCAGCATCAGACAACCCTTATCTACAGCTTTCTCAAGATGATGAGGATGACTTGGAGATGGAAGCTGTGTAAGAACCCCCCCCCCCTTTTTTTTTTTAACCTCTTCACTTGACTTGTGAAAAGTGATGTTTAAAAACAGCTTACTTAAATCTCTCTAAACCCTTCCTTGAAAAAGATTAGGATCTACCCACATATTTAAAGATGAGGTGCCTATTTGGTGTGTGTTAAACTAAGAGATTTGTGATATGCATAGGAGCCTCCGAGCTGGATATTGCAACAGTGTGGAGTAAGCTGGTAAAGCTTTTCATGGGGCAAAAAGATGCCCATAAAAATATCGAGTAAAAAAGCTTTTGTGTTTAATATATGTTGCTGAACACCCACAAGCCTTACAGATTGTCATTAATGCTTCATATTTAAAAAAAACCCCAAACAACGAAACCAACAACAAAAATGAGCTACCAATCTACAGAATATAAATGAGAATGGTGTAAGGTCCCTTCTACCTTGACATTCAGCCTGTAGCTTTGCAGAAATTTATCTTAAGTAACACTGAGCTGAGGAGATGGATTTTTACCAATACTCTTCCCTGTTCTACTCCTTGCTGCTAAACCATGAGGCACCACAAATGAAATAGGACATGAGTTAGTCTGGAGAAATTATAAAGTATGGCTGTGTTGGGTTGACCCTGGCTAGATGCAAGGTGCCCACCAAAGCTGTTTTATCACTCCCCCTCCCCAGCTGGACAGTGGAGAGAAAATATAAAGAAAGGCTCATGGGTCAAGATAAGGACAGGGAGAGATCATTCACCAGTTAGTGTCATGGGCAAAACAGACTCAACTTGGGGAAAATTAACTTAATTTATTACTAATCAAACCAGAGCAGGGTAATGAGAAATAAAACCAAATCTTAAAACACCTTCCCCCCACCCCTCCCTTATTCCCAGGCACAGCTTCACTTTCAAATTCTCTACCTACCCCACCGCAGTGGCACAGGGGGATGGGGAATGGTGGTTACGGTCAGTTCATCACATGTTATCTCTGCCGCTCCTGCCTCTTCAGGGGCAGGACTCCTCACTCTTCCCCTGCTCCAGCGTGGGGCCTTTCCCACAGGAGATGGTTCTCCATGAACTTCTCCAACATGAGCCCTTCCCACGGGCTGTAGTTCTTCATGAACTGCTCCAGCGTGGGTCCTTTCTACGGCGTGCAGTCCTTCAGGAGCACACTGCTCCAGCGTGGGTCCCCCACGGGGTCACAAGTCCTGCCAGCAAACCTGCTCCAGTGTGGGCTCCTGTCTCCATGGGTCCACAGGTTTTGCCAGGAGCCTGCTCCAGCGTGGGCTTCCCACAGGGTCACAGTCTCCTTCCGGCACCCACCTGCTCCAGTGTGGGGTCCTCTGTGTGCTGCAGGTGGAGATCTGGTCCACCGTGGGCCTCTATGGGCTGCAGGGGGACAGCCTGCCTCACCAATGCCTGGAGCACCTCCTCTCTCTCCTTCTTCACTGACTTTGGTGTCTGTATAGTTGTTTCTCTCACATGTTTTTACTCCTCTCTTCCGGCTCCAATTGCTCAAGTTTTTTTTCCCCCTTCTTAAATACGTAATTACAGAGGTGCTACCAGCCATTGCTGATGGGCTCGGCCTTGGCCAGTGGCAGGTCTGTCTTGGAGCTGGCTGGCATTGGCTCTATCAGACATAGGGGAAGCTTCTGGCAGCTTCTCACAGAAGCCACCGCTGTAGCTCCCTCACTGCCAAAACCTCGCCATGCAAACCCAGTACAAGGGCCCAGCCTAAGTCCCTGTCATTTTCTTTGCAATGGTTTTCTGAGGACTTAAAAAATGAGTTGCATTTCTGAATCTATAATAGAAGCTGCCCTAAGAAATTCAGCATGCTGGAAGTGTTGAATACAGCTATAATTGCCACAGACTCTGTTGCCTTAATAGGTGTAGAGCTAACCTAATCTCTGTAGTAGTTAGACATTTCATGCATAATTGCAATTCATGTACAGGCTCAGAAGCCTGTTCCTAAGAGTTTTTTCCAGTTTGGCAAATCTCCTTTACCTGTTCTTGGGTGAAACAAATTAACACTCCAATTTTTATCGCAGGGGCAAAAAAAGTCAGAATTTGTTTGCCCTCATAGTTAGCCCAGAAAGAAATGGACATTATTGGGAAATTGCTACAAGGAGGTTTGAGGTAGAATCCAGTCTGAAATGTCATGCAAGGAGTTCAATTTCTCAGAAATATCTCAAGCAATCAGAAAAAAGATCTTTGTTACTAAGCATTTTTGCATTGGGTCCATAAAATCTGTCATTGTTGCAAGTGGACTCCAACTAGTGGGTAGTGACCTTAAAATCACTATCACTTAAAGATTTAAATGTAAGAAACTGGTTTCAGTTTGGAAGCTGGTAAATAGACATCTGCATCAGGAAGGTGCTGCCTGAACTGGAAGATATGGCAGGATTTGTGATTGTACAGAAATGAGCTTTTTCCTTTTTGCCTGTTAGAGTGAATTTCAACTTTGCATTACATCCTTAATGAATTTGTACTTGGTATTTTTTTAGGACTAATAATATGGCACCTTTAATATTTAGTGATGTCAATAAATTGGAGAAGCTGCTACATTTAGGAGAATTTGCCAGAAATAGGCTGGAGAAAGTTTAATGAACTAATTAAGGGATTTACATCTTGCCATAGTGAAGTAGACATTACTAGAAACTCAAGTATCAGAATTCCTTGTGAGCCTTTTCCTAGTAAGGTATTTTGCTCTTTGCCTTGGGAGTTTCCATTGTTGTGCCTCGTGGGTTGTTCCCCTTAGCCTTGCTTAAATTTTTCTCATCTGATTCACCAGAAGTTTTACTCCGTTTGGGCACTTGGCAGTGTATAATCTGTAAGTGTCTTGTTCTCCCTTACCCAGCTGCATCAGGGAGGTTAAGTTTGCATGTATTTGAAAAGCATGGTGTACACACATTCTGTGACAGGTGAAGCACTGCAATGAAAGTGTATTAAATTTCTTGTTGACTTGGTCTTGCTGGTCCTATTTTTGCTTTTATAAATATTAAATGTTGTTTCTGTGGGGGAAAAATAGCAAGGCTTATTTGAGCAAGTGACTAAGTGCCTGACAGCATCCTGACTAACCACTGCATGAGTGTGTTTTGTCTTTCATGTGATAAATACCAACTTGTCTTCAGAGGCTATGGCAGAAGTTAAAAGCCTGCAAACTTCAAACTTCATGGTGTTCTGCCATGTCTTATTGCCAGGTTTTATGGTTGTTTTCGTCTCCCAGAGGGTTTTTGTTAAAATCACTCTTTAAAGCATTTGCTGCAGAAGCATTCAGTTTCTTTAGACTCAACATTTCTATGAGCCAATGGAGGGAAGAGCCATGAGGTCATCAAGCCTGTTTTCCAGGCTTGCTTGTCTTCCAGCAAAAATAGGACATTTTAAGTGCAGCTCTCTAGCTTATGGCTGTTTTCATGCAGTGCAAACTATACAAAGCTCAGTCTGGCAGTAAATGTAAATATCAAGGACAGTGTGGAAATCTGCAAAGTTTCAAGAAAAATGCAAAGACTAGGTGTCTGTGACAGAAACAACATAAGGCACAAATCCTCCCTCTGAAAATTCTGAAGTCAAGAACAGCAAAGGTAAGTCTTTTCAACTAACACATCTCTCTCTTGGGAGAAAGCATCCACAAATGTTATAGGACTTTCTCTTCAGTTACACTAGGCTCAACAGAAGTTGTCCTGGTGGAGAGGAGAGTATGACTAAACGTGAAGTAAGGACCAGTCTGTTCTTTTTCAAGCAGGGTCAATAGCCATTCATCATCAGCAAAGTGGCTTTCTGTGTATTCTGTGCTGGGCAGCCTCCTGAGCCCGTTCTGTCAGTATGTGGGCTTGTCGCTGACAGTTTGTTAGATTAAAGTACTCTGTTTGAAAAGGTGCAGCCACACTTGGCAGAAGGAGTTGTCAGGCTTCCAGTCCTAATGCCATTTCTGGGGCATGGACACAAAAATATAAACAGTACAGTAGATGAGGTGGGGGTGAGAAAGGGCAAAGGAAGCAGTTTGGGTTTTGGTGTTTTGGTTGGTTTTTTTTTTTTTCCCCCTTGCAGTATGTTATTTCATTAGCTCAGTAAGTTTGCTTTAAGTGTTAGGTACCAAAGTGCTCTTCTACGGATCTTGGTTGAGAATGGTGTTCACGCATGCATGTGGGGTTAAGATATTTCCATTGGAGGAGGAATTGCAGGAAAAGCCATTAATGGTTTTGTTCTCAATTCAGTAAATCCATCTTACTGAGCGTGTGAAGACTAACTTTGTTTTGCCTTAACACCCAAAACAGCCTCAACATAGTGAACTGTTGTGGTAACACTGACCTACCTTTCCTTATGCCTTGGGATCTGGAGCTTCTCACTGTATCATGAGGCAACCTATTTTGTGCTGAGACTTGAAGTCCTGGTTGGTTGGTTTTCTCTGCTTTCTCTCAGGTTGTGCTTCATGGCAGAGTGATTCATGATGCTCTCCATTAGAAGTGATTTTCTTCACCTAACACATCTTTCCTGTGCAGAGATCAGCTTTTTTGCTCAGTGGCTGGTCAGTTTCCACTCCTGTTTGCAATGGCTTGTAAAGGCTGGCTGCTGCTGGTATTGCAGTGTTTCTTGTTGGACTATGAAACAAACAAACAAACAAAAACCAGAAGAAAAGACAGCTGAGATCCACCACTGTGGAGGGCTGAAGATGCTTCTGAATGTTTAGTCATTCATTGATACCTTGGATACAATGTAGAGGGGAGAAAAAAACCAACAAAAACAACTATGAAATTTCTGCAGCAGGTAGCACTGTGCAATGGAGTGTTCAGGGAACTCTTTTTTGTGCCACGTTTGTGACAGGTATCCCTCTGACAGCCACAAAAATTGTCTCTGGAGAAAGATAGTTTAGTGAGAAGGATTTGTTGCATTTTAACTACTGCTAGTTTGTGGGCTAAAAATGCAGTTCAGCGAACTGCAGGTGAGGAACGTTTACTTGCAGTATGGCGGGTCAGAACTGAAGTCCTGAGACTGCTCAGAGGACTAGAATGAGAATTGCAGTGTGCTTAGTCTTAGTGCTAATACCCTTGTTTTACTGGGCAGTAAAATGTGTTGGCTGAACTGATTTTGAGAGGGAGAGGAATTGCCCATTGTACACAAACAATCTGAGAAAACGAGGACTCGAGCTATGCTATATACTTGTCATGAGACAAGAACAGTGCTCATCAGGTAGTCTTTAACTTTCACTGTTGAGGAATCCTCCCTGAAATCTCTCCCAGTTCTTTGCTATTGTTGCAGGGAGGGGACAGTAAATGGCCTCTCTGGTAACAAATGACGTGACTTGACCTGGCTGCAATTTCAGCATGTAGCTGTTTTTTCTGTCCCTCCGTGAATGTGGGAAGTGGATAGTTCTCTCTTAGCCATAACCTCTCATCACTTTTGTCATCATCTTGGTGTGCAGTGGGTTTGTAATTGTATTAGAGTGCAAGTGCTAAAATCTAGGCTGTGTGCCAGGTGGGATCTTACTAGCTGTGAGTCAAGTGTTAGGACTACTTTGGTGTCATGCATGTGTAAAACACCTATTTATATATCCCAGTATGTCTGCTATTGCTATGTTAGTTGCTCATTTTTGGGTTGTAGTCCATTGTAATCTTTGGCTCCTCCCTGAAGAATTGATACTTAGCCCCTTACTCTGTAATGATGAAGTTTATTACTTCTGAAGAGTAAACTTTGTAGCTGTCTTGCTGCATTGTCCCATATTTTTCAGACCATTACTTCAATTTGCCAGAATCTTTCTTCATTCTAGTCCTGTTCTCAAATATGTAGCTCTTAGTGTCTTCTGCAGATTTAATAAGCAAGTTCTCTGTTCCATTACCCAGGCAATTACTGAAAATACTGAGTAGAAGTGAACCCAGGACAGACTTCTCTGGAACCACACTTGATGTTCTTTCATTTTTGACAGGAAACCATTAAGTACATCTCAATGCATGCTTTTCCAATTAGTTATGCATCTACTTTGGTTTTGTCTAGCTCATGTTTCCCCTGATTTTTTCGTATGGGACTGTGGGAAAAACTTGTCAACAGGGAGAACTTATGAGATCTACATGTTCTTTGTGCTGATAAGCCTGACGTGATCTCTTCCAGGCAAATGTTTACTGTTTACTAATTCCATCTTTCTCCTTTAAGTAACCTGCCTACTTCTTCCCCTCCCCCCCCTTTTTTTAAAATTTCAGTAGGGAATAAAGTTGCTATTTGACCTGTACTCTTCTAACCCTTTCCCTATTGCCCTAAACACAAACTCTTCCAGGCCCACTCTGAAGTGTCTGAACTGCTGACGATCCCAGTACTGCCACTGCTAGAGAGTCACTGAACACACCAGTTTGAGTAAATTATTTTTACAGTACATGAACAGAAGCTGATCTCTAATGTAGAACTAAGGGCACTATCAGAAGAATGTATCTGAAGATTACTTCTCCTCTTGGGTGACACTATGAAAATGTTGTTAGCTAGTCTGATCAAATAAAGTATTCTTACGTGGTAAACAGCAGGTGAAGGCACACAAAGGCTGACAGCGGCATCTTTGAACAGGACAGTTTTATGTATGCTTCCAGGCATCCCTTGTGAATGCATTGAGCTATTGGCACCCTTACTTTCAGCATCCAAAATAACCTTTGTAGCACACTTGTGGGGAAAAAATACCTGCGTAGAATGAGAATAGTATTGTGCAAATAAAGCAAATGTCTTGTGCATGCGAATAGCCTGTTTTGTGTAGCAAGAGGGAAAGCTACTGGGCTGAAGAGCTTTTTGAATAGCCAAGATAGTCCTGAGAGGAGCGGTGCTGTTCTGGCTGGATAAACAGTTCAGTCTGCCTAATGTTTGAATGGTATTATGAGGCTTTATAGTTCAATGGTCAGATTGCCATGACAAATCCAGACTTGGATGGTATAAAAAGGATGACCTCTCTCTTCTGTTTTGTTGCTGTTCATTGAGTAATTTTGCTATTAACAGGAGTTGGTGTGCCTTAAGCTAATAAGGTTCATTTGGGGCACTGTCCACTGCGTGTGCATTTGTATAATATGTTGTTTCTGTTTTAATAGGTTAAATAGCATTTAATAGGTTAATAGCATTGCAAATGCAGAAGAAGGTCTTTAATGCACAGAATTAAGGGTGTTCACCTGTATAGCAGAATGTTTTTGAAGCAAGCTGCTCAAACTTTAGCAGATAAATACCTGGTTTAACTGTTTAACCACCCTGCTATCTTCTTTCAAGTACAAGCAAATACTATTTGCTGTTTTAGTTTAATAATAGATGAGGACGGCCTTGAGGCTTTCAAGGACAGTGGCCTTGCTCCCAATGCCCACAGTGTTGTGTCCAAGCTGATACCTGGCCTGCAACATGGTAGCAATAGGAGAGACCGAACATCAAGACTGCTAGGTCTTGGTAAAGAGGCACTTGAGAAGTGTTACTTGATATGTGCAGGAAGACGAGCGTGGGCTATTGGTGAAACAGACAGTACAGTTCAAGTTCTGTTCTCTGATGTTTCTCCCTTTTCTTCCAGGGTGACAACTTCTGGAGTAATGGAAGGCATGAAGAAGGTCAAGAAAGTGGTGAACGGTTCAGCAGAGCCACAGGGCGAGTGGGAAAGCATGGCATGATGGACTGGACTAAGGCAGCACTTTCAGAGAAACTTTTTTAATTTATTAATATTACTCTCAGTGGAAAGGGAGCAACTAGCACTTCCCAACACTGAAACTGCAGAGTGGGGTGTGTCTAGGGGGAGCAAAGCAGTGCGGAAATATAACTATTCCTCTGATCATAAGAAAATGGGATCTCTTGGTACCTGCAAGGAGTGTGAAGCTTTCCTAGGGATTTTGGGTAGCCCATTCTTTTTTCCCCTTTCTGGATCGGTTAGGTATTCTGAATTGTTTGCAGTTGTGTTCTTCAGAATGTGTAATACTAATGTGAAGAGAGACCTTTAGTGTGTATGTAAAGTATATATTTTATATAATGCGCATATATATATACACACACTTGCTATGTATCATGTATACTGGAAATTACAAAGTGTGTTGGAAGGTGGGAAAAGAAGGTAAGAGATGTAAGTATTCTTTTTTCTTTTTATAAACACTCCCTTTTGCTTGGACAAAGCATTGCAAAACAAATTAATAGAAACAACTACAGTTATTTGAGAGACTAAATGGGGTATTGGATCAGGTGACTTCTGCCACTACTGACATCAGTGGGAAAGTTAAGTATCTTCTTGTCTTATTCATGCAGGTATCCACTTGAATGTGACAGGTTTTAAAATGTATTACTATACAGGAAGCAAGTCAGTGTTCTCCATTAAAAGCACTAGCCCATAGTGCAATAAGCATTAATGTAAATTCTCCACTATTCGTGGAGTTGCTGTTGATTAACACCCACCTGACAAGAAGTACACAAGAGGTGTAAGACTGATGCTTGCTTTTTAGGGGTCTGCCATGCTTCTTAAACATTTAACTTCAAGCTGTGACCCACAGCACTTTGATCTGCTTTATAAAATATTTTCAAGGTATTTCAAAAGACACTCCTTTCTGGCACAGTATAAACAGTACCAGAATCTCCAGTGGAAATCTGTCTAGCAAATGTACTGTAGCATCAATCTCTGGTTCACCTTTATCCTGAGTTATTTAGCCTTTGTGAATGGCTACTTGTACCTCTCTGGCATGTAGGAATAATGATACTACTGTTTGAGATGAGCTGAACCGGTCAAAATGGTATTGCTGTCAAAACCAGGCAACTGCAGCTCCCAGTCATAAATGTTTTTTTTGTCAGGAAAGGAAAAGATTATGACCAGAGCCTCAATGCAGGGGAATACGAAGTCTTGACTATTAGGTGCAAACTTGCAGCGGTGTCTTTAGAGACATGTTACAAATGCCATGTACGTTTTATCTGTAGTACTCTGCTATTGTTAGGAAGGCAAGCTGGTGCCCATAGTTGTAGTAGTAAGGCATAGCAAATGATTATTAATTTGGGGGAGGACGGAAGTGGTTCACAGATGCAATGAGGATAAGCTTTAAGAAAAATAAATCAAGTGTAACTCACTGACCCACTGAAGCCTTAATATTCATGTAGAGACATTGACATACGGTGCTGCTGAGCAAAGTGCTTCTGTCAGGGTGACAGGGATAGGCATCATCACAGAGCTTCGGATGTGCTAGCATCTTTTACAAACTCATTTAGAAATTTGCTTTTTTGACTGAAGGGACTAGATCTCTGGGGCACAATTGATTAGAGGACTACTAGCCACTAGGGTTTTGAATTCTTTAAGGGGGGGATTTTTTTTGGAATCTTGAGCAACTTCTTCCTCAGTCTTGAGCAGGGATTGTAGAGCTCTTAAATGAGCAGTCTGTTTGAAGAGGAGCATTGTTTTCTCCGGTTGCCACTTCTTTTCCTGGGTGTTAGTTCTGTGCATCATAGAAATGGTGGAAATGAATCTACCTGCTTTGATACCTGGAACTGGTTTCTCTTCAGATAAAGTATGAGAATAGCCCTCTTCTCTGGGTAGAGTCCTCTTCTATATTTTCCTCCTCAGCTGTAACTGCATAGTAATCACAGCAGCGATAGTTTGACTTCTGTTGTCATTGTCTTGCAAAAGTGATACACTTTTAGTGGAAACAGAGAGCCTACACCACTAGAAAGGCTGTTATGTGACTTATGAGCCTTTTAGACCTTCTGTATGAAGAAATCTGCATATTAAGTAGCTGAGGTGTGAGAAATTGGATTATAAACAAACCTAGGCAGTCCCAGTTCATCATACACTTAAATACTATACCTGAGAAACTCATCCTCTCACTGTGCACAGTTACTCTGTCCCTATGGAAATGTCACTGTCTGCATCCAAAGGGCTACTCAGGCTGTAAACTTAGTTCAGAGTAGTCCATAGGAGACTTGAAGTCTGTTGGCACTGAAGTGTGTAAGGGATAAGGATTTGCTGTCAGGAACGGAAGCGCAATAACAGCGTTAATCTGGACATGATGCTGTCTTACAACCTGTTAATACCTTTTGCAAAGGAGATGTGAAATTCTGATGGGTGTGGCATTTCACTCAAAAACACGAGGGCCTGTGCCAGGATCCCAGCATATGCTGAGCTGGTTCCAAACAGCTGCCTATTCCGTACCTCAGTGTCAGTGTTGCTGCCGATTTGGCAAGCGCTTTTACCTTAGTCTCAGGTTTCTTTTTTTATATACACTTTTTTTTGCTGAAGTTGCATACGGTGTAGGTTTATGTGCCAAGTCCCTGGCTCACTAGTCAAAGGCCAAAAAATGGGTGATTTCTTCTTGTCTTGGCATGAAAAGCCATGATGGTATTCCGAAACTGTTTTTAGAAGAGCTTTTGCCAAGTTCAGGCCTGAGCTTCAGCAGTCAGCTATACAACCAACTTCAGCTGGCACTTAATGCAGGATGCTAACCAGCAGTACAACAGTAACTAGTCAGACCTAAGCATTAGTAAAGAGAATGAATGTGGATGCACAAGTCAGAAAACAGTGATAGAAGGTTCTTCCTGCATCATTTCCAAAGTGAATTTCCAGTTTCTCTGTTGGAATTCCTCAGAGCAGGTTGAAAAATTTGTCTTGCAGGGTTGTATGATGGATTGGGCAGTGGCTGGGATGTTGGAGGATGGCTGCAGTTGCGCTTCTCTCGCGGCACTGTGTGCTGCACTGCAAAGCATCAAAGGGAGAGCTACTCCCTCCCCTTTCCTCCCAAGGTAGACCCACATCTGCATGACTGGCAAGTGCATGACTCTCTATTGCTAGTGAAATGCAGCAGCTTAGAGCTCACCAGGCAGGATAATCGCAGTGCTTGCTTTTCAAATGCTGACGGCTGTCTTATCTGGTAGGAAACCCTGTCTTTCATAGGGAGGGGAAAATAGAAGAGCTGCTTGTGGCTTACAGATTGTTTTGGGATACAGCCTTGCTTTCCTGTCTCTGCCTCTTACTGAAGTGAGCAACTAAAACAATCACCCTGCGAGTACACAGCGGTATAATGATGGGAGTCCTGGAAAAGCAGGTCTGGTGCAATTCAGAATAAATGGTTTTGAATGCATTCACATATGTTGCTGCAGTGGAGTACTCTGCACCCTCTGCAGACAAAAATGAGATTGGTTCAGTCTTCAGTTGTAATGCAGGTTATGCCCCAATAAATCCTTGGTGATGATGACATGCAAATGCCACTGATGCACTCCTCCTTCCTGCTGTAACTGTTCAGCAAGCTGTCTTCCAGAGGAAACCTCCTTGCAGTGCAACTGCCAGCCTCTTGCATTCTTCAGGCTTGAAAATGTTTTCCTTGATGGTTCATGAAGAGGCGTACTAAAAGAAAGCAAGACATAATGGGGTCATCTGGAACGTTGCTGCTGCTTGCTCAAAATGTAGCAGTTCAAGTTGAAGAAGCCACATGCTGCCCTATTAAGATGCTCTTTCATGTTGTCATCTAACTCAGCATGTCATGATCTGTGCAGTGCATTGTTTCGTGTTTCTCTCCAGCCGAGTGCCCTGTTCCTGGATTTCGACGCTGGCATACCCTGGGAGCATGTTGTAAAAATTTGCTGCATTGCAGTATTTTGTCTTGGAGCTAGCAATGTGGAAGATGTATTTTTCTAAGCTAAGTGGAACCTCTCTAGCATGAGTGTGCCTCCACCGTGTATCCTTAAGCACTGTAACATTCCTTCTGGCCATGAAAGGGCATGTCCTAATCACTCCAGTGTGCACATTTGGTGGAAGTCCAATGGAAGATTTTTACTGTCTTTCTTTTACTAGTCTTTCTTCCTTACAGTATGCTCCCCTTAGAGAAGAGAAACGCAGTCTGGCCGGCGACAATCAAATTGACAAGAAAGGGTTGCCTGGCTGCTTTTGGGGCAAATGTTGGGTATTTGTATGTTCTGTTGAGCTCTCAGAACTGAAGCTGCTTAGTTATTAAAAAAGTAATCGGGTGGTAGCACAGATATTGAAGGGAAGTAAATACTTCCTCCTTCAGTCTACCTGGTTTGTCTCCTTCAGTTTGACCTGTCATGACAGCTGACAGACTGTTACTTTAAAGCAAATATGTTAATATGTTTTATTGATTCTGTGTTATGACCTCCAATCATAAAACATCTCCCCATTTTTCACCTTTGTAAAATGAGCATGGAGCTGTGGTCTGCAGCAGATGGAAGGTACAGTGATACTTGAAACGTAAGGGGACTTACTGTGTAAAACCTGTGACCTTGTGTGTAACTTCAGTAACCTGAATGTTTCATGAAAACTGAGGTGGTGCAGCCCAGAGGCAGTTTGACCAATGTTTCTTTGTGTTCCTTGGGGTTGATTTGCAAGAGAAGGTTGTTGTAAATTGAATTAATCTGGCTTTTCTTGTAGCTGCTGGGTATGATGCTGTGTTGGGCTTATTAATCACTTTTACTTAGCAATATTGGGAAGCTGTGTCTTTTCCCCCTTGTAGTATCTCGCTTGGATATAGCAATGATCCTGTAAGAACTGCGCATGATATGTACTTGCAAATGGCTGGAATGGGATTTAAGAAAAATACTGCGATACTCGCATGTAAAGTGACGGTACTGGAAGAAAGTGGCTGAGAAAAGAGTCGCTCCTTGTAGGTTGACTGGCTCAAGAACCCATTTATATTTTGACTGCAGCAATCCTGTAGAAAGGACGATTCTTAATAAATATTTCCCTGTGGGATTTCACTCAGTGTTCTCTCTGTGTAATAAAGTAGAGCCTGACCTCCGCATTATCAGAAGCACTTTGTCTTGTAGCTAGGATACTGGAGCGTTGGGCTGGTACCTCTTCTGTCAAAACAGAGTATGGGTCTAAATAGCTTCCCTTTCCCTTTAGTAACTATTAATAATTAATTCTAGATCCTCTTGTGTCATTAAGCAGCTTTAGGGCACCTTGTACAATGTAGCTTTGAATTCATTTAGTAAATGGCTTCCAAAAGAACTCAAAAAGACTTCCCTGTGTACAGCAAGGTCCAGTTCCAGGGGTTTTCGTGATCTGTAAATATCCTATTCCTCAGTTCATGTTCAGATGTACAAATGGATTTTTTTCAGTATTTTTTTAAACTTTATTAAAAGAACAACAAACAGTGAAGAGAAGACAGGTAGATACGTATCAGGACGGTCTGTGTAACTTGGTTTCCTGGCTGTGATGCAAACATGTAAAATAAAGATTGACCAGAAAGAAGTTTAATGCATCTCATTTTCTGCTTCTGAACTGCTAGCAACCAAGCTGACCTGTTGATTCCAAAGTCTGCGTTTTCTCATGCCTGACTTCCATTTGCAGCTGTTAACATCTGCATCATGGATACAGGGCCAAATCGCAAAAATCTTGTGTGGAAAAAACTTTTCTAGGGGAGAAGCTTTCCTGTCAGTGACCTGCAGTGGAGTTCACTGAGGTGCCTTTCCTTGAGCTGAAAGACCTCCAGGTACTACCGTTGTGCTTGTATGTGCCAAGCTCCTCTTTTAGTTCTGTAAGCTGAATTTATGCAGTAGTTTATGGAAGCATTTCTCATAGCCCTGTTTCTCATGGCCTTGCAGTCTTGGGCAGGCAGGAAGGCAGCTGCATCCAGGGCTTGTTGCTGCGAGCCAGTGTTGTGGTCTCCTCATTCCACAGGACTTGGTGTCAGCCTGCCGTGCAGGGGAGGACAAGGAGCTGGTGCTTTGAACCTTGGTGACCAGATACAAATTAAGGGTAGAAACCTGTATTTTAAATAATATCCTTTGTGATCTGGCCACATCATCTCAAAGGGGCAAGTCCTTAACCTGTTTGGTTTAGGCTAGACTGAGGGACTTCTGTCGTTGTTCTCTTCCTGAGATGTCAGGATCTAGCCATGCATGTCAGTTCTACAAACTGGTTGGGTTGGCAGGGATGAGGAGGGCAAAGTATTTCCGTGAAGTGCTCTTATGCATAGTCTCCCACCCCTCAAAAACATATGTCCTTCATCACAAAATGTAAGTCTTCAAGATGTTTCTTGCAGTTTAGCCTATAGCTCTCACTTTACCGCAGAGGGGTAATGCCAAAAATAGCCTGTGTTCTCTACCCTGCAAATCCCAAGCAGCCAGTTCTGCATTGCCTTGAGCCTTTGGGTGGGTGGTGTTTTACCAGGGAACTAAACTATAAAAAGTACATGGGTTTTGGACTTACTAACACCTTGCTGTAGAATAAAACAAACTTCATGTGATGAAGGTGCTGGCTGCCTGTTGCACTGGGGTAGCCTACATCTATTTTATGCAGGTAGTTCTTGGTTGTTAGTTTTCTCCAAGCTGAACATCCTCTGCTTTTTCTTGCTAATGTATATTTGGCCTTAAAACATTCCCCCTTAAAGCGACAGTAGTTGAACTCACCCCTGCCGTTAAGTGCACAGTGGAGTTAGCTGCACTGGGCCAAAAAATTGCTCAGCTGTAATGAAAAGTGAAATGGGGTGGGGTGTGTAAAGTGGGACTAAATTCTGGGAAGACTTACTTGAGACTGAGACCAAGTGTGGGTTATGTGAGAAAAAAATCTTGATTTCTGACTATCTTCTCCAAGGAGAGCCAAAAAGGAAAAGGTCCTAATTGCAACAGAGTATTTAAGGTCTATCACAAGCAGAGATTTTCTGGTAGGGGGGAGAATAAACAAAACCAGAGCCCTAACAATGTGCTGTGTTTGGATGCAAGTTTGTAGGTGTTTTCCTGTCCAGGGGAGGTAGATTGTTCTACCTGTTTTAAGGATTTTCTTCTAGTGTCTGAAATTCTGAGCTGTCTTGATCATTTGCTGCTCCTTGTTGCAGTCCAGGCTGCCTGCTGTCACTGCTCTTGCTCTAGCAAGATTATCTTCATGACCGCAAAGAGCTGCCTTCTCTTTAAATCTTGTTTTTTTACCTTCCTTTGCCTTCTGACTGACAGACTCTAATGAGCAGGAGCGTGTTGTAGTGCCCTGTATAGGGAATGGTCAATAAAAACAAATTGCTTTGTACAGAAGAGGTAGTAACACAGCTTGTATTGGCACAGCTGATCCTGGTATTGGGGTCCTCAGTTAGGAGACAAGGGCTTTCATGTGTCTTAAGTAATAACATATACATGTCATCCCTTTCATCTCTCTCATCTATGGAAAAGAATGTACCTTGGGGTGACACTGCTTTCTCATGCCTCTTTTCCCCTGTGGAATATTTTTAGTGGGGTGGCTGAGATACAATGCATGAGCTGGCTCTTGTATTGCTAAAAAAAAAGGCATGCAAGGTGAGGCTGTTACAGTGGTGGTGGGTAGCATAGATGAGGATCGACATAGAGGGTATGGCTTAAAACTCCTTTTACTGGTCCCTCTTGGGATGATTGTGCTGAGCTTGGCCAAGAGACTTCCAGCATCCTCAGCGAGAGGAGCTGTTAACAACATGGGTCTCCTGCAGCAAGGGTAAATATATTAAATAATATAAATAAATTATATTGTCCCTGAGGACAGTGTTCTGGGGTGCTGATCTTCTATACTGTCTTCAGTCTTGAGTCATTTTTGGAGGGTGACACAATATTCCATTGGCAGCCTATCTCCCTAAAAACATGCGTGCACCCACCAGTTACTGCGGGGTGTAGAAGAGCAATTGTTAGTGCCTCAGCTGCCTCTTCCCCTGAGCTGCTCAGGATGCTTTGTTCTGCAGGAGCTCTGTGAAGTCGGAAGGATTCCCACACCCGGCACGGCTGCAAAGGTATTGATCTACATCTCCTGGGAGAAGCCAAACTTGTTCGTTTTGGGATGCATCTCATACCAGGAGGCGGTAGCCAAATTGGAGGGGCTACAAAGAACAGCTGCAGTGACTGAGATGAGAGAATTCGGTGATGACAGAAGATTACAAGAATTAAAGCTGTAAGCCTGACTAAGTGATGATTAAAGAGAGCCAAGGAGATGTAGCACGCTACAAAATGGCTGCATGGGGGGAAACTGCAGAAATGGGTGGGGAATTAATCGGTGTGGCTCAAGGCCGGAGCTGTGGAGAGGTGAGATGAAATGAAAGCAGAGGAAAACAAGATGTTAGGAGAAACCTTTTGCCAATGAGATGGGTTTGGCTGCAAACAATCTCCCTGGAGAAATGGAGGCAGTTCTGTGTTGTTTTAGATAATCAACACTAGACTGGACAAACCACTGCTAAATATACTGCAGGGAATGACCCCTTATTGGCTGTGAGCTGGACTAAATGCCTGACTCGGTCTTTTTCCATTTGCTTATCTGTGTGAAGTATATTGCATGCATATTTTCTGGTTTGGGGGTTCATTTTTGTGTTACTATTAAACCTTGTAGATGCCTTGAGTGAGCTCGGCTGCTCCATAGGAGGAATGTTAAAAGTACTACATTAAAATGAAGCTGATACGTATGTTCCCTAATTTGTATTCATGGTAAGTCAGGGTTTTAACTGTTGTTGCAAAAACTGAGCAGAAATACCTGCTGGGATTTACCAAGCACACAATGACTGTGTATTGCCATGAATCAGAGCAGCCTTGTGGGAAGCAACGGTTCAACATCTTATGGCAACGAAATCTGAAAAATAGGTACAGGCTGATTTTGTATGTTTGAGTGGTTTTTGGGTTTTCTGGGGTTTTTGGTGGGGATTTTTTTGGGTTTTGGTTGCTTTTGTTTTTGTTGGGGGGGGTGGTGTTTAACAGTTGCAGGGTGGGGTTTGGGTGGACAGACATCAATGCTGACAGTGCAGTTTGCTTATGAAGCTTGCTCAAGAGGCTTGTGTCTCATCTTAAAACCAGTCCAGATCTGCAGTGACCAGCCCTTGAGCTGCTCCTTGAGCTGCTCCACGGCAGCATCCACGGCGGGGTGGTGTGTGCAGCAGACAGACTCCATGCACCGAGAGGCCGACGATCTAATATGACTCATGAGGAATCTTTGAAGGAGGCTGACTTCTGTCTGGCTCGTGGCGTGAAAACCATCAACGCGACTGTTCCCGCTGTGAGTGCTCGCAGCTCAGCATTGAGTGGACAAAAACACTGAGCTACCTTCGGAGCGAAGATTTGGGCAGGAAAGCAGACAGCTGGCAGCTGCATACCTTCGCTTTATTTTGAAGGTTCTGTCGTGGTGCTTGTGTTCTTATGTATATATATTTAAAAAAAAAAGCCTTGTTCTGCTCCGAACCCCAGTCTTGCAGTTTTAGGGACACTTCTCTCAAAGAGGTTTTTTTTTTTTTTGGAATAAAAACATCTGCTGAAGCTGGGCAGCAGAATTGGTGAATGGTGCTTAAGTAACTTTGTACAGTGCATTGCTCACAGCATGGAGAACAGTCTCTCCAACCCCTCTTTCAGCCCCGATGGCGCTGGTGGATGCTGCGGGGCATCTTTGCTGCAAAAAGCTGCTGCTACCTCTGTGACTGTGATCTTATCTCACACAGACACAACTGCGCAGCGCTTGGTTGATTGTTGTTATGAGGAGTCTTTTATTTTCTGTCCCTGAACAATTGCGCTGCCTGTTTCTACTATTGAGCCTTGTTTGAAGGCTCAAGGCATCTGGGCTGAGCTCTGCGGTTCCTGTACTGCAGGATGAGCGTGGCAGGAGCAGAAAAAGAAGGTGGCTTCCCAGTTGCCAGCTGTGATTTCTGATGTGCCATGAAGGAGGATCACAACACCTCCTCCTGCTTGGCTTTGTCTCAGCCGTCTGCTGGCTGCACATGGCAGGTAACTGGGAGAACAGCTGATGAGTTCACCACAGCCACCCTTTGCAGGTTCCCACATTAGCATAACAATTACAGCCCCAGAGGCTGTAAAGAGAATACAGTCTTTAAGAAAATATACTAGAATTTAACAGAGAAATTAATAGCGTAGCAAATTGTAGCACTCAGCGCCTCGGCTGCCTGTCAGTCTTGAAAGACAGCTGTAGGTGCAGCTTTGGCACAGTTGTGCTGATTTCCAGACCTTCCTCTGCATTTGGCCATCATTTCAACATCTGCAATTCTGTTTCCTGGGGAAAGAGCCTGCAGGGCATGATTCCCGCTGCTGTTTGCCCCCAAACCTGGTAGGTTTTGTTTCTGTTGCGCTTTCTCTAAAGCCATGCTATGTATTGGCACTAAAATGCTGTGCTATCTGAAATTAATTTATAATGGTGATAGCCTGTAGGGCTGCTAGAGTTTGAGTCTCAGAGTGTTTTGGGTTAGAAATCCTGATTTCTGAGGACTTTCTTACTTAGTTGTATATAGCTCAGCTATCAAAGCAGAATGGTAACTTCCAGCACTTGGTGCTTGCTGTGGCCCGCAGTGAAACGAGGGGTGAAGCAAGTGCAGCACCGCTCGCCTCTTGTCAAGCTTAAAAGAGCTTCAGGAATGCACTGGTTGATGAGCTCAAAGGTGTGGAGTCCCATTTAAAGCTGCCCACAGTCTTGAAATCATACACGTATGTAAAATTGTTGTAATCTGAGATTAGGATGATGGCTGGGAAGCTGAGGCACGGGTGAGGATGTCCCCGGCACTAGTTGATGCATTCCTGCATTCTCTGTTTGTGGCTGTTGCACCAGGGTGTTGAACTCGCTCTACTGACATTTTTTTCAAAACCCCTTGAAAAGCAACTATTTTGGTGGCTCTCTGTGCCAGCAGTGACCACAGCTTGTCTGGTGGAGCAGCCAACACTGATGCCAATAATTTCTTTGGCTCTTTTTCTGACTGAGTCAGATCACTTAAGCATTAACCTTAAAATAGCCACTATTTTTGCAGTTGATATAATTAATCTCGTGTGTGTGTGTTCCTTCCCCATCCTAGGCTTTGAGGCTTCACCACTCCCCTGCTGACCAACTCCCTGCTTTGGCACAAGAAAGCTCTTAGCAAAACTTGGCTTTTTCACGAAAAAGCACAAAGTATGGGCTGTGTGCGCTCTGCTCGGTGAGTTCACTGCCAGGCAAAGGCTGTTTGCCTTTGCCACTGCTGTCTCCAGTGACAGATTCCTTGCTCACATCGTCGGTTGGTTTTGGAGCACCTTCTTCATCTGCTTTAGCATGGGTGGATGTGGAAGAGGGATGTTCACAAGCTGACAGGTCTGGGGGTAACACTGGCCACAAAGACGGCAGTAACAGACAGATGGATGTGTGGGTTTAGTGATGCACTAGGAAAAAGGGGGTTGATGAAGCTTGAAGCGTGAATGGACCCTGTGTGGGGCCTCATCCAGCCCTAGGAAGGGGAGGAGAGAGGCAGGGGATGGGCTGAGCTGAGCCAAGCAGCAGACCCACCACCTGGCTCAGCTCAGCCCATCCCCTGCCTCCTTCTTCCCCGGGGCAGCTCCTGCATCAATGCGCATCCAAGAGTGCAAGTGTGGGATACGGGATACTACCCCATACCTACTTTCCAGCCCCACTCGTGGCTCCAGCCATGCCCGAGTGGGGGTCCAGAGGGTGCTATGTATGGGCTGTGTTATTCCACTGATTTTTTTCAGGTCTGAGCACAGCTGCAGCAGGGAGGAAGGGAGGAAAGAAAAGACCTTTTGCAATGGAGCAAAGCAAGGGAGTGCCCTAGAGCGGGGGGGACAGAAGCTCCCTGCTTGCATGCAGCACTATTCCCAGGAGGTGACTGGAATCCCAACAATTAAATCAACAAGGATGCGTTGGGGAAAACCCCTGTGATGGCGTCTGAGGATGGTTTATTAAATAACATGCAGTGTGGCGAGCCCACGTGGAACAAAAGGCTGTGTGGCTGAGCCTGACGACTTGCTGTGTCCTGGGGAAAAAGAGCTCAGTGGTTTTATTAAACACATGTAAGTAAATACCTGAGGAAGGAAAAGCTTTCTGCAGACGCAGACTCGGCTGCACGGCCCATACAGCTCCCAGCTTTTGCACTTGGAGCGTGCAGCATCCTCGGATCCCATCCCAACCTCTGGTGCTGGTGTGGCAGGAGAGGTAGTAGCTTCCCTATAAGCAAAACCCTGCTCCGACAGCGGCGGCGACAGCAAATATCGCCCAGGGAATGATCATTTCCATGGCAGCGTGTTGCAACATGGCGAACAGACGGTGGATACGCGGCGAGCAGCACACGCAGTTGCTTAATAAAAAAAAAGCCAGCCCGGGCCAGGGCTGGGCAGGCTGCAAGCTCCGGCTGCAGTCGCTAGCGGTGGGGAGATGTGAGCACTGCTCAGGCTGCTGAAGGTCTGCCTTGGAAGAGAGACGCAGGGGGATTTGCAAAGCAAAACTGCTCTCAAGGGCTGGCCTTGCATTAGATTTTCCTCTCTGAGCAAACAACCCTGCTCCTTCCCTGGCGCACTGACCACGTTCAGCTGGACGGGATTTGTTTTGTGCCCCAGTCGCTGTTCAGATTTCAATCCTGCCAGCCCCAGGAGTCTTTCTGGGGTGGGGCTGTGTTTCTCTGGCTGTAGAAATGACACTGCATCCCAGAAAAGTGCCACTAGTGGTGTTGTTTAAGCAATAATAGGGTTACAGCTAATAATTAGGAAGAGAAAGTGACTGGCTTGCACAGTTTCCGATTACTTTTCTCCTCTCGCTTGTGTGATCTGAGCTCTCCCTTCAGCATTCCCCGTTGTGGAGGCAGGGTAGAGTTTTAAATAGAATTAAATCCCTTCAACATCAGTTTTGCATCAGCAGAGCTTGTGCTAAAATGCCTGTGCTGCATGGGGAAGGTTTGGGATGTTAGTCTTGCTGATCACCCCAGCTGGGCGTGGGACAGGTCGTGCTCTGCACACAGCAGGACACCCCTGCTGCAACGCGCTTGCAGCCCTGCGACCGCAGACGAAGGGAAATACTTGCAAAAAATTGGTATTTTGTTGATGGGCAGCAAAGGAACGGGCTGCGCAGGGCATTTTGCAGCAGGTTTGGGGACCGAACTGAAATCCAGCAGGCCTGTGCCTGAGTCTCGGGTGGGCCTTTCTCCCTAAAAGCTGTGCAAAATATTAGTAGTGGCTGTGAGGGATGCTGGAGGGAAGACACGAGCCTTGCTGAGTTCTTGCAGCTATGTGCTGCAAATCCCCCGCTGCTCAGTGCCGATCCTCCTGTTCGTCCCCTGGGTGTGCCGCTGCTGGGTGCCTGAGTTGGGATGTGGTGATGGTGTTTTTATACTCTTCTGCCTTAATGAGCTCGTTTGTGGAAGGCTGGGAAATAGAGGACTGTGCATTTTAGAAACATCGACCTGGGGAATATATCCCTGGAGAAGTGAGTGTCAGGCAACCCTTTGCTGGTAAAAAAAAAAAAAAGGGTGCAAAGACCAGCATTGTATCAGCTGTGCTCCTTTGTCCCCTTTGCAAATACCCCGTGTGTTTTCTGTTGGGCTCTCTGCAGCCTTGCGGACAGGTTTTACTGTATCCAAGTGTGGTTTTTTCCCCTGCTTGGCTGCTACCACAGAAGTCCAGGCATGCCTGGGCAGCTCCAGCGGGGCCTATGTTGCACCATAGGCGGGAAGAAAACTGTATTTATCGTGTGCATCGGTACAGCTAATGAATGTGTGCACGCATACACAGAGAGCTTTTGTAGAAGCATAAAGTCCTGCATGGTTTTGAGGTGGAAAAGAGCTGAGTGCCGCTGCTTTTAGCGCTTGTATGGTTTCCTGGCTGTGCCGCAAACCCGCCGTAGGTTGAGCCTGTGGGGTTTTTGAAGGGATTGAACCTGGTCTCTACAGGCGTGTTGCAGAGAGTGAATGAAGCCTCAGCAGAGCCTTGAGGATCCTGGGGTGAGAGGCAGAGACCTGCCTTCACCTGGGAGCAGCCAGGAGCTGGAAGATGCTTCAACAACGGAGGGTGCTGGTGTCCCACCAAGGTCACCCCCCCTCGTCCCCCAGGCCCTGAGCTCAGCCTTGCTCCCGCCCTCGTGTTCCCACCCTGAGCTCCCCTCTCCCCTCATCCTCCTGCCCTCCACGCAGGACCGCGACCTCCAGCGCCAGAACCGCTTGGCACGACCCCAGCCGAG